CGCCAGCCGACATTGCCTGGCTGACGGCACCCTGAGGAGTCCCTCTCTGTGGGTGCGTACTGGTCAGTGGGAGGCTATCGGCTGCAGAAGGCGGTCCTGCAAATACCCAGGTCCTATGCCATGGAGCACTTTAAAGGTGGTAACCAACACCTTGAAGCGCACCCAGAAGACAACTGGAAGCCAATGCAGCTCACGCAGGAGAGGTGTCACATGGGAGTGCCCCCTCACTCCCATAATCCCCCGCGCGGCCACATTCTGCACCAGTTGGAGCCTCCGGGTGCTCCTCAAGGGAAGCCCCATGTAGAGAACATTGCAGTAGTCCAGGCAAGAAATGACGAGTGCCTGAGTGACTGTGCGTAAGGAGTCCCAATCCAGAAAGGGACGCAACTGGCGAATCAGGCGGACCTGATAAAAAGCCCCCATGGCCACGGCCGTCATATGCTCTTCTAAAGACAGCCGTGCATCCAGAAGGACGCCCATGTTGTGAGCCCTATCAGTGGGGGCCAATAACTCGCCCGCCATAGCCAGCGATGGCACCAGCTGGCTCTATCGGGACACCGGAAGCCACAGCCACTCGGTCTTGGAAGCCGGTCTTCTCGGTCTTGGAAGCCTGTTACTCCCCATCCAGATCCGCACGGCCTCCAGGCACCGGGACATCACTTCAAGGGCATCGTTGGGATGGCCTGGGGTGGAGATGTACAGCTGAGTGTCATCAGCGTACTGATGGAACTCCACCCCAAAGCCACAGATGATCTCACCAGCGGCTTCACATAAATGTTGAACAGAAGTGGCGAGAGGACCGATCCCTGAGGCACCCCACAAACAAGGCACCTCGGGGTCGACCTCTGCCCCCCTGCCAACACCGACTGCGACCGGTCGGAGAGATAGGAGGAGAACCACCGCAAGACGGTGCCCCCCACTCCCAACCCCTCCAACCGGCGCAGCAGGATACCATGGTCGATGGTATCAAAAGCCGCTGAGAGATCTAACAGGACCAGGATAGAGAAGCAACCCCTATCCCGAGCCCTCCAGAGATCATCCATCAATGCGACCAATGCCTGTGGGAATTTGTGTAAGCAATTCCTCCCAGCAAGTGTCTGCATTGCTGAAAGGGAATTTTTACCACCAGCACATCCTTATTAAAAAGTATCATAGTTATTTTCTGCTGATAGAGGCACTTTGATTAAAAGTTACATGGCAATAGATCTGCCACTCCTTCTTTTCCCACTTAGAGCAGGACTGCTTCTAATGCCACTTCTGTAGCATCTGTACCACAGAGGGGTTGGGATGGCAGAGAAGGGTCTGAAAAGCTACCACTACTTTTTATTCTTAAAATGCTATTCGTTCTTGAGTTGACCAGGAGAATGCTGATTCTTTCTTAACAACTGAAACAGCAATTCTATGTGATCAACAAAATTAGGGATGAAATTTTGGTAGAAGTTACAAAGACCAAAAATGTTGTACATTTTTCACATTATGGGTGTTTCTATGCTTTTGCCGCATCCATCTGTATCCCTTTACTTAAAATTATGTAAATAGTGTTGTTGTGGTAGGTCAAATGAACATTTTTTTAACTTGGCAAATATTTTTCTTACAGTTTTTGCAATATATTTCTGACATGATTGACATGCAAGGAAGGATCTTCAGAATAAACCAAAGTGTCACCTAAATATACCACAATGTATTTGTCTAAATCATCTGAAAATATTTCATTCATGGTTATTACCCAACTATTACAGTTCTTTCAGGTTATTTAGGCTGCCTTCCCTCATCATCTCAGCTCTTCAGCAACCCTTTTCTGAACTGGTCAGTCAGTACCAAGTTATTCTGCACTAGAAAAAAAGTCTGAAAAAAAGACTTCTATTATATAAAAGTAGAAAAAGTAGAAAAGGGGGCACATAACTAAGGCAGAATATCAGCAAATAGCCCAAGCCTACAAAGATGAAGTGAGGAAAGCTAAGACTCATAATGAACTAAGGATTGCAACAAAAGTCAAAAATAACAAAAAAAGCTTCTTCCAACATGTAAAAAATATGAAAAAAGGCAAAGAAAGGATTGATTCATTAGTGGGGAAAAGTGGCAAGAAAGTGACAAGCAACAGGGAGAAAGCTGAACTACTTAACTCGTTTTTTTGCATCCGTCTTTACACAAAAGGAAAAAACAGTCCAATCTATCAAAAACAGTACCACAAAAAACAGATTAGGATCACACGTTAAAATAGGCAAGAAAATGGTAAGTCAGCACATGTCCATCCTAGACAAGTTCAGATCACCAGGACCAGATGGATTATATCTCAAGGTTCTGAAGGAACTGGCAGACATGATCTCAGAATCACTGAACTATATCTTTCAAAGATCCTGGAGCACCAGGATTGGAAAAGAGCAGGACTGGAAAAGAGCTGATGTAGTTTCCATCTTCAAAAAAGGGGAAAAAATAGATCCAGGAAACTACAGACCTATCAGCCTGACCTCAATACCTGGGAAGATTCTGGAAAAGAAAATCAAGCAATGAACACCTAGTGAACACCTAGAAGCAAATAAAGTCATAATCAAAAGCCAACACGGTTTTGTCAAAAATAGATCATGCTAGACAAATCTTATTGCATTCTTTAACAAAGTGACAAAATTAGTGGTACAGAGGAATGCTGTGGATATAATTTACTTGAACTTCAGTAAGGCATTTGATAAAGTAGACCACAACCTACAACTTGATAAGACAGAAAAATGTGGGTTAGGGTTGATTACAATTGATTTGTGTATAACTATGTAAATAAATGAATACGTAAAATAGATATATAAAGAGAAAAACATGTGGAACAGGAAAATAACCCACTAATACAACAAATTTAGTTTCTTTTTGGTGTTGGTTTGTTTTTCGTATTGTTTTACTGTATTTATGTTTGTTTGTATTTTATTGTTGTTTTTCTTTTTTAAACAATAAAAAAATTTTTAAAAAAAAAGAAAAATGTGAGTTAGACAGCATCACCACCAGATGGATTCATAACTGGCTGGCCAACTGCACTCAACATGTAGTCCTCAATGGAACTGCATCTACATGGAAGGAAGTATTCAGTGGGGTACCTAAGGCTCTGTTTTAAGCTCAGTACTCTTCAACATCTTCATCAATGATTTGGATGAAGGGATAGATGGGAAACTCATCAAATTTGCACATGACACCAAGCTGACAGGAATAGCCAAGATAGGCTTAAGATACAGAAGGATCTTGACAGACTTGAACATTGGGCTTGTCTAACAAAATGGAATTCAGTGTGAAAAAAGTAAGGTTCTACCTTTAGGCAAGAAAAACCAAATGCACAGGTACAATATAGATGTTATTGAGCCAGTAGTAACTGTAAAAGGGATCCTGGAGTCTTAGTGGACAATCACTTAAATATGAGCCAGCAGTGTGCTGCAGCTACCCAAAAAAAACCCAACGCAGTTCTAGGCTGCATTAAGGGATAGAATCAAGATCACATGAAGTGTTAATACCACTTTATAATGCCTTGGTAAAACCACACCTGGAATACTGCATCTAGTTTTGGTCGCTACAATGCAAAAAAGATGTGGAGGCTCTGGAAAGAGTGCAGAGAAGAGCAACAAAGATGATTAGGGGACTAAAGACTAAAACATAAAAGAACAGTTGCTGGAATTGTCTAGTTTAATGAAAAGAAGGACTAAGGGTGATATGATGGCAATGTTTCAATAACTCAGGAGTTGCCACAAAGAAGCAGGAGTAAGACTATTCTCCAAAGCACCTGAGGGCAGGACAAGAAACAATTGATGGAGACTAATGAAGGAGAGAAGCAATCTAGAACTAAGAAGAAATTTCCTGACAGAAACAACTTGCCTCTAGAAGTTGTGAATGCTCCAATACTGGGAGTTTTCAAGATAAGATTGGACAATCCTTTTTCTGAAATGGTATAGGGTTTCCTGCCTAAATGGGATTGGACTAGAAGACTTCCAAGGTCCCTTCCAACTCTGATGTTATGTTCTGTTCTGTTCTGTTCTGTTCTGTTCTGTTCTGTTCTGTTCTGTTCTGTTCTACTCTACTCTACTCTACTCTTCTGTCTCCCTACTTCAGCTTTTGGATTTCTCTAGCAATGACGTGTCCATTACTAGAACTATCCTCACAATGAATTGTATTGCTCATTTGGCCACTGGTTCCATTAGCAAATTTATTTAGGTGCATTCAGTGGGAAAGTTCACCATTCTGTATGTGCTGTTGCAGCTTGAAGTAAATACTACCCCAGCCATTGAGTTAATTATATAATGACATTTTGAAAATTTGTCACCCATGCATCTACCTGCTGCTGCTGTTGCAACAATGCTGCTGCAAGGTGCTTGGTGGATGATAAAATCCCCTGGGGATCAGAAGCCATTCCAAAAAATCCAGCCTTTAAAAAACATTATGAGACTTACAAGATTGATGTCAGCCTTACTAGGGAGATGTAGTAGGAAACATAAAGTTACATTACCAAAATCTTGCGAGTCTGAAAGTACTCTCCTTCTATCCCCTTTACAGTCTCAAAACTAGAGAGTCTCTTCTGAACCTCTTGCCCATCTACATTTTTGCTGCACACTAAATTGCCTGTTAACTACAGTAACTGTTTTCTTGGCGGTATCTCATTGCCCTGTCTCTCAAGGTTATTTCCACATATCATTACATATATTTACAAATCAAAAGAGACAATAAAAAGCTAAAAAGGAAAAAAAAAGACCAGAATACATCTTCTGCAGTAGCCAATATGTGGATAAGTAGGAATCAACATCAGACAAACATCAAGCAGAAAACAATACCCTAATCAAAAACTATAGTTCCACCAAAATTAGCAGGGCAAATTACTGTATATAAATAGGGAGAAAACCCCATACTCACTTGCACTGATGGTATAACCATTGGAGAATGAAATGTTTGCAAGTAAACAATAAAGCTCAGAAAGAACCAAGGACTCCACAAATTAAAAAAAAAAACATTTTTAAATATATGGCTCTTTTTTTCAGAATATACATGTTGTTCAGTTTGTCAAATTGTGCAAGGTGAGTATGGATTATTTTTATGCAGTCTGTATATCCTTTATAAGCATTAATTCTTGCAGTTTATATTTATATCTGAATTATAATATTTGTAATATTTTATCCTAATATTAACAATTCAGTCTTAAATGTTGTTGGTGTGATTTAGATAGGTACCTGTGAGCTACACTACCAGTCTGCAATTCTGGCTGAGAAATGCTCTTTTTGCACACAAGTTTTGAATAACACTGCTAGGTTCTTTAGACATTAAAATTGAAATTTAGGATTTGCTTCGATGTGATTCTCACTGAATAAGAAATGTAATCTCCGATAGCATGTTTTTCAAAGAAATCAAGCTGATTTACTAGGCTGTCTCTTGATACTGTTAGTCCTCAAGTTATGAGCATAAGGGAACCTGGCTATTACAGTTGCAACTTGCAATGCTCGTAAAATGGGTTCATTACATGATCAATCCAGTTTTACATTTTTTGTGGTAGTCGTTAAATGAATGTGGCAGGCATAAATTTGAACTCATTGTTTGCTATGAGTGAAATATTGCCAAAAGCAAGAAATAAGTGACGCCACTTAGTTTATCGGCTCAGACAATCTTAGCCAGCTGCTGCCATTGCTGAAACAGCATATTGAAGAACTCATATTAAGGAAATATGATTTTGGACAGGAATGGGGAATTTTTGACTAACTAATGGGTTAAATTAGGACAGCCAGTGGAACCAAAATAAGATTATATGAATCCATTTCTCAAAGCCTCTTTTTTTATTTCCAGGGAGCTACCACTTTAATCAGTTGACTCCTTTTTTACTTTTTCCAGTTGAAAATAATAGGAGGAATGATGTCAGCCCCAAACTGAGTATGATGGAAATGAGATAAACAGATCTGGATGCCATTGGTTCCTGAAAACTCTGATGAAGGGTATCCCCTTCTAATCGCTGGGCAAAACTGAATGTCCAAAGTTATTGTTAGGCAGCAGGTGGTTTTTTTTTAGCTGACATTCAAGATTAGAAGAATTACTCAGTGAGGAAAAAGATGAAACCTCTCTGGTCATAAAATATTGGTATTGATATTTATACCATCATATACTTCCATTTGGTCCCTTCTCCACATGCATTGGAGAAAAACACCAGCCAGAGGTCAATGCCAACTTGTGGTGTGGGGAGCTGTACCAATTCTAACAAATGAAACTTTGCTTCTGTGTGTGTGTGTGTGTGCGTGCACGCGCGAGCACACACACACACACTGGTATATATGTAACACATAACACATATAAAATTGCAAAGTAATACACTTATTCTATTTTTATAATAAATATAATTCGTTGTATAATTCAATGGAAATGATGCCTATTATAAAATGGTTTTGCTAGGTCTTTTCATGGAGTTCTGCTTTGCATGGGGTTCAAATTTCAGTTGCTTATATCTCTTGTTGTTCTGTTTGGTTTGCTTCTTTGAATGACTTTGCTTCAAGTTTGTGCCATGGATTTATTTTTCTTTGGAATAAAAATCTTGTGCTTTTATTTGTTATCAGTATTTGTTATCAGTAAAATAGGCAGGATGTATCATTTTACTTCAGTATAATAAGGGACATGCAATTGGGGAAGGGACTTTAATGATCAGAATGCGAGAAGCTTTCTATTTGCTCTTTAACCTCCCCTGGGAGAAATTCAGCTTGATTTGGGGTGGTCAGGTTTTGTAAGGAGTGCAGTGAATTGTAAGACTTAGTGAGACTTTTATCCTTAATTCCCTATGCAAGCAACAAGTCCTATCATATAGGGAGATTGAGGGCCAAAAATGAGCTGTGGGGTGTTAGAGGTAGAAATTTGGGGTTTTCGGCCTTCAAAACGTTGTTGAATTATAGTTCCAAGTATCTCTCACCACAAATCATTAATTCTACTTTAGGTTCTTGGATATTTCCAGTAACATTTGGAGAACCACAGATTCCTCATCCCTATTTTAAAGATAACTTGTGCTCTGTAATCAACTGAAAAGGGAAGAGAGTGTTAATTTGGAACAAATGTATTCCCTTTTATATTTGTACTGCATCTGTATTTTATACCTTTATATTTGGGAACTTTATTTTACAACATTGTATGTAGGAAAGCAAACATGAATCTATTGATATCTTAAGGCTTTTTTTGCTTTAACATTTCAGCATCTGCTTGTGTTGTCTGATAAGAACAAATCCAACTACTTGTCTGTATTTGTATTTAATATCAACAGAATAGTTAGGGTGGTTTTACAATTTAGAATTATTTTTAAGTGACATTTTTTGTGCTCCTATGATTCTTGCATTGAATATTTGCTTCATAAATCTTTGGTATTTTATATTATTTAAAATTAAATAGTTATTTAGGATAATTATCACACTATGTATTTTCTATATCTAAATTAATAAACTGAATAATGTTTAAATATTTTAATATTATTGAAACATTAATGTTATGCTCATAAACTTTTGAGCCAAGGAATATGACTACATATGCTAGCAAATGCTTTCTTGTTCATTCTTTTTATTGTTTTTCTTTCCTTTCCTATATACCTATTTTGGGACTCTGATGTAAGTGCTACTGATTGCACGAGTAACTTCCAAGCAGGAATGCATAAAAATGCATTATATAACTAAGAAATGCTTATTCTTAACTCCTAATATATAGTATGCATACATATATGCAATTATTGCGTGTGGTATAAATAATCTTTGTCTTGTTTGATTAGCAGTAGAATGACTATAGATACACATCTTTAGTTTTTCTTCCAATCAGGATGTCTACAATGCTGTTTCTATAAGGCATGAATTAAAACATTGACAAAATCTAATATGTACTATTGACTAATTGATATGTGCCAAATCCGTCTAGATGCATTGTAACTTAATTAAATAACAAAATGTATGAGATTTTTTATTGGGCTTGCTTTGCATAGCTTATAAAGACAGCAATGTTCTTTATAATGCTTTGTAAGTTGTTCATAATTCTTTATAACTTTGCTTTATCATGTTTATCATATATTTATGTTGCAAGGAAAACAAAATTTAATCAGTAGAGAGGACATTATGTGTTCTGGCATGTTCCTGGGGAAGTATACAAATAGTGAGAGAAGAGTGATGACCCCTCTGGCTTGCAGGCTTTCTCCAGCCTCTAGCCTTCAGCAAATGTAGTTGAGGCAGAGTGGAAGGGGCTCAGGGAGGGAGGGAGGGAGGGAGGGAGGGAGGGAGGGAGGGAGGGAGGAAGGAAGGAAGGAAGGAAGGAAGGAAGGAAGGAAGGAAGGAAGGAAGGAAGGAAGGAAGATGCTGCTACAGATTGTCTGGAAATGATTCAGTGCTGCAGCCCACTTTTTGTTTTTAAACGTGAACACTTCTCCAGGAAAAAAAAAAGATAGCCTGGAGGGCTAGAGAGGATAGGATGGAAAATTCTCATCAAGTTGCTTTCTATTAAATTGATATTTTGTTGTTGACCATGCTTATGATGGCAGTTATACTCATATTTGATTTTCAAGTGTGCCAACATTTGTGGCAACAAGTGGCAAAAAAATTGGGGACTCCGGCCATTCAATGAGTAAACAATTTTTCCTGGAGATTATGTGAGTTGGAGTTAAACACAAAATTTAGGAAAGTTAAATCCTTTTAACAACTAAACCAACTAACCACTAAACAGCAGACAATTTAAATGATTGATAAATCACATTATGTAATTTGACTCAATGTTATCTCTGGAGAAAGCATGGCCTGGACAATGGCTGCTGAAAGTCAGTTTGCTGACCACCTTCTGTGATCTACCATGTCCTGTTTCTCTTCATTACTTAGATGTTAAATGGATGCTATAAGTGGTTCAACTAGATGGTGAGGCAAAGAATGAAAAGCCACTTGAAGCAAACTCTAAACCAACTGACATTGTGTTGTCAGATGATGAAGAGAATGGTTCATTGGATAGCAAATCCAAGCCTAAAAGTCCCCCCCCAAAGGACTCAATCATTGAGGTACTTCCATATTGGAAAGAGGCTTTAAAGCCACACTTACTTGTAATAACATGTTCTTTATGTAGGACTTCTATGCTTTGTTTCTTAGTTTTGGATAGTGGCAGACAATTCTCTCCACAGATAGAATATCTGTCTTTGGTAACATGTCCACATAGTTAAATAGGGAAGAGAAAGGATTAGAAAATACGTGTATTTATGTATGTATTTTTTATGAAACCTGTATGATTAGAAAACCAACATTATAAACCAGAAAGTTGTTTTAATTTAATATTTAATCTAGCCCATTAAATAATGTGAATTATTAATACTGTTTAAAATTAAAATGAGCAATACTATTCAGACATTATAACAGTCCTGCACTTGTCAGCTTTTCTTATATACCATATTTTTAATTCTGACAACCAAATCTTTTTCAACATCTTAAACTGTAGACTACAGTGTTAGAATAAAATATAATGTTAAACATTAGAAAGAAGTGATGGCTAATTTTTTTTCCTCTTTGATGACATATTGAGTGAAACATAATAGTCCCAGAAGAATGTAGTTATGGAGAGAGAAGATTCTGTAGTGGAGTTGTGGAGATCTAAAAAGATATGTTCCACAGCTTTGACTGTACCAGAACCATAGCAATAGGCATATTCATTATGTGACTTACAATTGACTGTGTCCTCTAGCGAAGCAGATGTAAGAATGTTGATTCAGATTGTAAAGAACATTTGGGCAGAGGCAAAATCCAGTTTGGTACTAAAGCATGCTGCATTATTTCCACTGAAATGTTTCATTGTGTAGCTGCCAGCCTATTAAGTTTGAATTGTGTGTTTCATCCCAAACTATTTCAAGATATCTCTGAAAATCTAAATAGGCACTGCAATGGGAATATTGTGGAATAGTGGATAAGGATCAACTAACATAATCCTGGGGAGACACAGGTTCAAATCAGCCATGAGAACTAATGGAGTAAATTTGGGCCAGTCACCTACCCTCAACTCAAACTTTCTGAGTATGCTCTGTGGGGATAAAGGGTTGTTGTTCTAGAGAACTCCTGGAGAAAACGCAGGATAAAAATGCATACCAACAAATACATGGTAAATTAAAACAATGCAACATTATGTTGAACATAGTATCTTTAATTAGCTTTTGCCAACCATGCAGGATTGCAATTTCCAATGCCCATATTGGTTAGAATAATAAGTTAGCTAAAATGATTTATAGGTCTTATATTCCTATTGGGTGCTTTGCATTGTATCAAAGCAGTGGATTATGTTTGTACCAAGAGTAACATTTACTTAGTCTATTTTCCTAAAAATCAAGATAGCTTTTTAGTTGATTATTCGTACTTGCTAAATACTTACATTAAGTTGCTTTGTTTAAATTGTATGCATGGAATAATCATTTTTTGTGTTATGCTTTTGGCAGGCACCGCCTAGGCACCTTAGACCTCGTTTCAGGAAAAAAAGTACCTCATCTTCTACCACTGAAACCACGAACGTGTGATGAACCATCCAGCACCAAGATCCACAGAATGCCTCTCTTCTGCCTTAAAAGATCTACATTATTGTATGTGGGGGGGGAGGGGAACAGTAGTGAGAGGGATGTGTTTGTGATATTGTAGCATTTTAGAAATGAACTTTCTTGCTTTCTTTTTCTTATGCTGCCACTTGTGTTGCATTATAGTTTTCACTGGCAGAAGCAATGTTTCTTGCTCCCCCTTTGATTTCTTTGCAGATTAGTGGTTTTTTGGCCCTAGTTACAGTGATTGGGTTCAGTATTTTTAACCATTAAGTTACATGATTTTTGATCAGATCATTACATGATCTGTTATTGAAGTTAGAAAATGAATATTTGCTTCAAAATCATATTTATTTTGGGGCTTAATAGTAAGTATAATGTGGACCGATAGGGGCCACAGATTTTTTCAGACTGTGAATGATGTATTAAGATTGTTTCAACTGTACAAGTAGTGAAAATGTAAAAACAAATCTAAATATGTTACTATTTCTTCTGTGCGTTCATTTATGGGGTTAGTTATTGTATATTCTGTTTTTAAATCTATATAAAAAATGGACCCACTGGAGTCTTAGAAATGTAGAGATGAGAAACATATTTATAGGACTATACCACTGATGAATCTTCGGTTTGATGCCATAACTTTCTTAAGTCTGATGTCGTTACTAACTATGAAATCAGGTAGACATTGCATTTGTGCTAATAGAGCTAGAATTGTGCTATTAAGAAATTCACTGTATAAAAATTCATTGGTACAGTATGATCTAACATGTTGACCATTTTAATGGGCAATTGTGTGACATGTGTGAGGCATGTTTACGGTTGATGCAAGTCATAATTAGGTTTGGGTGCAAATCAATCTGCTGCCCATATGATTTTAATCCTGTCATTCTCCCAGCTCAGACATTATCATTTAATTTAGAGAAGTTCACAGATTTCAGCAGTAATATAGCTTCTGGTATAGATTACAACAGTCTGTAGTTAGATGGTACATTTGTAATTATAGAAAAGTTTGAAACAAGGAAAACATACTAGGATTGATGTATTTTAGCTTTGGATTGATGTCTCCTATATGTGTAAAGCATGAAATCTTGAAAATTATACTACGTATAAACATTTGTGTTTGCCTTTGTAGCTATCTCATTAAAAACAAAAGTACTGTAGAACATAAACATGTTGACATTGAGGATAAATAGATTGTGTACAACACCACTAATCTAATCTCCTTCAGGCGAGATTTTGAAATGACTGTATTTCAGTATCCATGGTCAACCTTACTGGATAGATAGATAGATAGATAGATAGATAGATAGATAGATAGATAGATAGATGATAGGATTTTTCCTAGCATGCTTTGGTATTAGGTTGGAACTTCCTAACCCTTTTAAAATGCAAAAAATAAAAATAAAAAATCCCATTGTTGTAACAGCAACACATCAATAGCAGTATACGAAAAAATAATAAAACAATTGTCTCCAATTTAAACCAAATTTGGACTCGTTGCCATGTCAATCAGTAAATCAAGAATTTAAATGGCAGCTAGAAAATATTGTCATAGGACAGGTATCTCAAAAAATCTTTTGATGTATCAGTTTGCATATTTATTAAGATTCTATAGGCATATTTTGTCTGTCTCGCTCATATATATATATACCTACTTCATTATTGTATGAAACAATAGCAGACATAAGAGTTTTGCCATTGTGTTATATGTAATTGAATTTTTTTAAAAAAAGTTGATAAATTTATATTCATTTATGCCAAAAAGATATGTTTCTTCTCAAATTCTATGACACTTTATTTTAATTAAAGCTAATCAATGTCTTTTTGATCAGCTGTTTACTAAAAATATGACTGTTCTGGACTTGTTTTGTAAATACTGAAGTGAAATTGTTGAAATTGCCTTATCTCTTATATGAATTCATTGTAAAATTATTTGTATCTAGCAAATGTACTAATTGCAGCTGAATTATATGCCTCTATATAGCTCAGTGAGAATCATGAATGGCTCCATAATAATACATTCTGGTGAGTTTTTAATCTGCAATATTGTTGGAAACAAATTGGTCCTGGATGCTATAATAAATTGTTAAGATATATGTAGCAAAACCCATTAGTTTTGGGGATTTGAAAACTCAAGGCGCATAATTTCTACCAAAATATTGGGACTATTATATTTCCACATTTCTATATAATGATGTGTTTTACTGTACACATTTAATGAATAGTTGTTTCAATTTTCCAGTATTTTTTGGATCAATATCAGAAGTGAAATGTGCATCCAAGACAACACAATTTCCACATTACTGAGTCTGAAATGCCTGAATCGAACTGCAGATGTGGGGGCATCAATGGATTGTATCAGGAATATCTGATGTGTTCCATCACCAGTGTTCCTGCTACAGCAGTTTTAGTATTATAAAATGAACTGAGACTATAGAGAAGATTCCAATATATAAAGGAAAAAGGTTCCTTTGCCCTATGTCTAGGGACCTACGTGGCATGGCCCTACTGCTTTTTAAATATTAGTGAAAGTGGAATGCCTTTGCCTTCATGCCAAATTCTATTTCCAGTTTTCAATCTAGCCACCATCCTAGAATTGCACAGTAATCCCCATCCAAGTACTAACTAGGTTTTTTAGCTGCATAATAGCTAAGCTTGCTACCTCCTGCAACCCTTTGTAAATGCAAACCTAGCACAGCATTACAATACCTCACATTTACCAAATATCCAATCCAGATTCTTTTTCATGAGGAAATAAGCCCATGGGTTAGGTCCATAATCTGTAATTAGTTTATTATTTATTTATTTATTTATTTATTTATTCATTCATTCATTCATTCATTCATTCATTCATTCATTCATTCATTCATTCATTCATTCATTCATTTATTTATTTATTTATTTGAATTTATATACCGCCCTTCTCCCGAAGGACTCAGGGCAGTGTACAGCCAGAATAAGAACACACAAATAGAAAAATTAATAACAATTTAAAATATATATTAAAGAAAATGGCCCGTAACTAATTAAAAACCCATTTTTATACCTCAAGAGTTAAAAATTAAAATTAAAGATTAAAGGTTGAAAAGAATTGGAATTAGGCCAGCCCGGCTTCTTGGAACAACAGAGTCTTGAGGGCAGGGCGGAAGGTGCGTAGATCCGGGATCCTCCGAATCTCTGGGGGCAACTCGTTCCAGAGGGCAGGTGCCCCCACAGAGAAGGCTCTCCCCCGGGGGTCGCCAGTTGACATTGCCTGACCGATGGCACCCAGAGGAGACCCTCTCTGTGAGAGCGTACTGGCTGATGGGAGGTTATTGGTAGCAGAAGGCGGTCTCGTAGGTATCCAGGTCCTAAGCCATGGAGTGCTCTAAAGATGTTAACCAACACCTTGAATCGCACCCGGAAGACCACCGGAAGCCAGTGCAGCTCACCCAGGATAGGTGTTACATGGGAGCGCCACGTCACCTCCACAATCACCCGCGCGGCCGCATTCTGGACCAGTTGGAGCCTCTGGGTGCTCTTCAAGGGGAGCCCCATGTAGAGAGTGTTACAGTAGTCCAGGCGGGAAGTGACGAGGGCGTGAGTGACTGTGCACAAGGAGTCCCGATCCAGAAAGTGGCGCAACTGGCAGATCAGGCGAATCTGATAAAAGGTCCCCCTGGCCACAGCCGTCAGATGTTCTTCCAAGGACAGCTGTGCATTCAGGACACCCAAGTTGCAGACCCTCTCCGTGGGGGCCAAAGACTCACCCCCAATAGTCAGCGATGGCGTCAGCTGGCTATATCGGGACACCGGAAGCCACAGCTACTCGGTCTTGGAGGGGTTGAGTCTTAGCCTGTTCATCCCCATCCAGATCCGCACGGCCTCCAGGCACTGGGACATCATGTCAAGGGCATCATTGGGGTGGTCTGGGGTGGAGATGTACAGCTGAGTGTCATCAATGTATTGATGGAACCTCACCCCAAAACCACGGATTTATGATCATAGACCATAAAAATAAGTACCTCAATATCAATTAAATATGATATATATTTGGATTTACCCTTTTTGAAGCAGTTGTTTATTTCTGTCATAGCCATATATTGAATCTGGCTATGCTAGATTCTTTGCGTCCTGATTAATAGGAGGTTGACATAATCATCTTCAATCTTAGCTAAATATTGTCCTAATTGGGAAATTATACACACACACACACCCTTCGACCCACCTTTTGAAGGGAATCTTTGTAACTTGATGATATATCATCTTTCATCTTTCATCTATATATGACTATATATATCATCAAGTTACAAAATCTCCCTTCAAAAGGCAGATTGAAGGATATTTCAGAGACCAGTTTAAAACCTCTTTTGGCATTTTAATAACAAAAGATAATATTAAACAAATAGTAGGCAGGTGCAATACTTTTTAGGGATTGATCGGTACGAAATAAGGTGGATCTGGATGAAATCATTCTGGAATTTTTTTTGGCATGTTGCTTAAATAATTAATTGGCCTTTTAAAAATTATTAAGATCAATGCATTAGGGGAAAGTTCACGGTACCTTGGGGTACAATTTAAATGATTTCCATCAAGAAGACTAGTATTTATTTTTTTAAAAGAATTGCCAAATCTCTTGGGTTGAGAATTAACTTAAGCCAATAACTACATGCTTGACCCATTTCATTCTTGGCCTATGCCTGGAGTGCATCATGAAACTCAAACTGTATCTCTTAGAATAGCTGAATAGCGCTATATTCTAGGCACATATTTGAAAGCTGTAAATTAGCTGTATTATTGCTTTGATCACAAACACTTTTAGTCAGCCTAGTATATGATTACCTCTTTTCATAAAGAAAAGCCTTAAGATAGCTGCTGCACTCCTTTTTACCTTCTCTCTTAAAAATTGAATTCGGGCCTTGAAGTGCCTGTCAATAACTGTTCTGAAATATTGAAAAGACTGAACCTGTTCTATAACATTCCCATTAATTTGCCATGAATATTTATATTTAGCAGATCTCTTTGAATAGATCATTAAGTTTTGGTTTTTTGATAATAATCAGACCAGTATCTGTTGTTTAGGTCCTAAAGTTGGTATATTTGCCTTAGTCTTTGAACTTCACTCTTGAGACCCAGGAAGCAATGTTCAGTAAGAGCATGTTTTTTTGCCTTCCGAAAGCATTAATATCACTGATACACTGTCATCTCCAATTAGACGATTCAGATGCTCGAAAAGCTACCAAAGAACTTGAATTGCTGCTACCAATTAGAAAACTTAAAAGAGGGCAAATGAAGAAATAGTTTTTACTTGCTCAAAGGCAACTTCTTATGCAATTAGTGGTTAAGGCATCATGCTAGAAACCGAGAGACTGTGACTTCTAATCCCATTTAGATAGGAAAGCCAGCTACGTGACTAGATCAGTCACTCTTTTCTCAGCCTAATCCACCTCGCAAGAATGTTGTTATGGGGAAAATAGAAGGAAGGAGTATTAGGTAGGTTAGCCACCTTGAGTTACTTATAAAAATAATAAAGGTGGAATATAATTATAAATGTTAAGCAGAAAAATGCTCCATATTCAAGACAAAACCTGCAAGCAAAAAATTAAACAGAATATATGTGGAAAGAGGAAATAAAATTCTTATTAAATAAGATATTATTTAGAAAAAGAAAAATCCTTAATACAATATTGGATGGTCCCTAGCCAAGTGTACATGGTCTACTACTTTCAAGCTGTGCTCTGCAAGATAAATGTATTAAATGTACAAAAGTGTACTTGTGCTAAATGTTTCATAAGTATTTTTTTTTCTTTTTTGCAATAACATATTTTATATCTGGCACACTATCTGTATTTGGAAAGTTACATTAATGTCTAACATCTCAGATTAATCTGGATAACTAAGGTGTTTTTCCCCTTTTGAGTTATAGCAAATTGCATAGAGCACTAAAGAATGCACTGTGTGATCAGACACTCCAACAGTATTCCAAAAGTCAATGTTTTGTTATGCTCGATAAACACTGAAAATAAAGTCTTAAACTTTTCTTTTCTGAAAGAAATGGCTGTTCTGTTCAATATTATGCTTCATTGTATGGTTTTTGTAGTGCTCTATTTCTTGTAAATGTTCTATCTTCTCAATACTTTCTGTGTTGTCATTGAAAGGCTTCTTAAAAGCTTTCAGAAATACTAAATAATTACTTGGAGAATCAGAGTGGCATTCTGATTAGTTTCAAACCAGGACCATAGAAAGTTAAATTCAAGTTTCTCATCAGTTTGAACTTCAGTTGGTGATCTTCTGTCAATTATTTTCTCACTCAAAACTAACCCATTTTTGAAGATAATTATCGAAGTATATCCTTCTGAGCTCCAAATAATTAATAATTGAGAAAATAGAGATTAGCATATCCTATTTTTTTCAGATAAGAGAATAGTAAGTTAAATTTACCCCAATATTAACCTTGAAAAATGTGTATGTTTTCTTTAATAATTAAAAAAAAAATAACAGTGAAGGCATAAATCTCCAAGAGCACTTCTTTAAATTGCACATGCTGTCAGAAGCAGGAAAATGGCCTAAAATTACTAATTTGAGCTGGGCAATCACATAAATCACTATCGAAATAAAAAAAAATGTCTGAGCAAAGTTGCAATTCTTATTTAAAAGCAGGATTTAAGGACTAAATTAAATTAATACTAAACCATTCAGATGCACAATATTTGGATTGTGATGCTTGAGACCATGGTAAATCATATAAACTACCGTATATCAATCAGTTTGTGCAAATAAAACACGCCAATCTGTTATTGTGCATAAGTAATTTAATAGAAGCTTCCTACATGGTTGCTAAAAAAATAGGATAAAATGATTAATTACGGTTGACAATTCACAAGTGAAAGTTTGTACGATCATGATATTTCTGATAGGGATCATTGGCATACCATGTTCTTCTTTTCCAGAAAGAAGTAGTCATTTTATCAAGCATCTTACTTTGTGTTTTGTTGCAGAATACATGTTCCCGCAAGCGCTTCATCCGGTTAGTCTTTTTTTTCCACACTTTTTTCTTGTAGCCAGCCTATCAAACAAAGAACAAAAGTATTAAATCTCAAAAAACAGATGCCTGTATGTAAAAACACAAATTGTTCTCTATAAAGGGAGGCATATTCTTCATTTTGATCGTTTTATATTTCTTTATCAACAGGGAAAAGGTGACTCATGCACATAAGAAAATCCCGTTTTTAATGAAGAAAACATTCTTACCCTTCTTCTTAGCCAGAGGCCACAGTGCAATCGGAGAAATCTCTTAATCACTGGTTTCACAGTTTTTCTTTTTCCTTTTCGCAAACTGAAACTGATGACTGTCCTTACTTGCTGATGAAGGATATTCTGAAGCAAAGGTGCCACTCTAATATTTATATCAAATCAAGAAAATATAAAACCTATCAATTGAATTCCAGAAAAAAGCAATCCCTGCACATTTGCATCTCAGAATTATGTTTGCTTTTACTGATTCTTACAGTAATTCTTTATAATGGAATCATTTTTATGATCGAACCAGACTCCATACCTCAAATTCTTTCTGCAATACATCCTGACAAATGGAGTAAATACTTCTTTGTAATAGAACTTTCATGTAGGCCTTCCATCACTATAATGGGCGGTCTCTGCCACACAAGCACGGGGCGCATGTACGGGGCGCATGCAGGGGGCCATGCGTGCATGCACGGGGGTGTGCATGCAGGGGCCTGTGTGTGCATGTGCAGGGCGCATGTACGGGGACTGCGCGCACATTGCATTTGGGGGTTCGGGCACACACACACACACACACACATTTGCGCGCTTTGGGCACTGGGTCTGGAAAAGGTTAGCCATCACTGCTCTATAGGGATATTTACTTTAACCATCTAAGTAGAGTTCTTGATTTTTGCAAAGGACAACTATTTTCAATCCTTAAATACAGTATGAAGCATATCAATAATGAAGTATCTAATAGAACAGTGCCTAATAGGGACTGGTTTCATGGAAGACAATTTTTCCACCGACCGGAGTGTGGGGTGTGTGGGATTTTGGTTTTTCTCGCTTGCCTCCAGCTCACCTCCAGCTATGCAGTCTACTTCCTAACAGGCCAAGAACTAGTTGGTGGCCTGGGAGCTGGGGAGAATAGAATATTGGGGTGTGGGTTTTTTTTTTTTTGATCAAGAACTCTATATTAGACAAAGAGTGTATTGATTCAAACATTGTACTAGCCATATTTTATGCAATTGTGGTTTATGGAATAAGCCACAATTGGCTGGATTTGCTTAACATACAAACTAAAACCAAACAAAAGACATTATGAATAGGCAATATTATAAATCTGTTCATTTGAAAAGAGACATTTTGTGGCTAAACCATAGATAAATCATTATCTTCTGGTAAAAATGTCTTACAAACCAGATTGTGAAAATAGTGAAAAGAAAAAAGATGGTAGAATATGTAGTATTGCAAACTCTGATATTACAAAACACTGTCTCCCTTAAGATCGGCAGATCTCCACCCTCTTAGCTTTCCAGAAATCTGGCTCTGGGATAGCAATGTTAAAGCCTAGGGGACTGTACAGTTGGATGGACGTTGCTAGATTAGGTGCTACATTTCTTTTTGTTTGTTAGACTGTTTTATCACTATGTTTTTATTATTGCTGTTAGGTGTCCAGAGTTGTGTTTCACAAGATGGGAAACCTTATACACTTTTAAAATAAAGAAATAATCATAAAGAAAGAAACTAAATCCATATTTAAGAAATTTCAACTCTGTTAAACAACACTTACTTGTTTGTTATAGAGAAGGAAAGTCCAGATGAAGTACTACATAAAGATAAAAAAGGTTTTTTGATAGAATCTCTGGATATTTGCCTCTGAGAAATATGAAATGAAGACAGTCGATAAATTGGAGTTACAGTACATGAGCCACTGTAGACTGAAGGGACCAAAGAGCAAAAAGATCGTAAAACTCCTACAAAAAAAAAAAAAAAGCAAAACAGAACATGAGCAACATGGTAAAAGAACTCAGCACAAGATGCAGAAACTTCTTCCTGATTATCATTCACAACTATTGTCCATTTAGGAATTATGAGGTGACATGAAGAAATTATTCTATCTTGATTAAGAATAGGAATGGGATTCAGAAGCAGGATTTTTTAATGACAGTGAAGCAGATTTGAAGAAAGAGTGAATTGTCAAGAGGCAGCAATTAGATATATATTAGATATAGGATCTTAACTGATGAGCCAAATTGGTTTAATTATTTAAAATTGTTTTTATTTCACATTATATGTATGTTATTCTGACTGTTCACCGCCCTGAGTCCTTCTGGAGAAGGGCGGTATAAAAATTAAATAAATAACAACAATAATAATATAGTAATGATAATGCACATTCAGTCTTCAGGACAGGATTTTTTGTTTTTTTATTTAAAAAAAACAAGATTGATAGGGGAAATGGTTATTTCCTGTTTAAACAGCCAAATTCTTTTAAATCAAAATTTTAATCTGTTTTAAATTATTGGGATTTTTAATTGTCTCAGGCTAAATTATTTAATCTGGTTTTAATTATGTTTCTAACTTTTGTATCTATGTATTTTATTTTGTGCCTGTTCATTGCCCTGAGTCCTTCGGGAGTAGGGCAGTATATAAATTTAATAAACAAAACAAAACAAAACAAAACAAACAAATTAAGCAATTAGCCATTTCAGTATTCATGGCTAGCAAGGCCATGCATGGAAGAAAAAAACCTACAGTATTATCAAGCTGGTTCACATTATAATTCAAAATATAATTTTGATTTTATCAGAATACATACCATTTGGAACTACCTAACATTAAGCCAAACTCTGGGCTATTTAACAGCAATATTTTATTTGATAGTTTTCTATAGCTATAATCTGTTTATGTTTTCACATTGTATTAAGCAATGATTTTCTTAATTTTGACTGGGTTCATCTGCCATAAATGAAACCAAAGAGATCAAATTATATCCTAGAACACTGTGTAAAGCCACTTGTGAGTTTATACTTCATTTTGATAAAATTGCTTCTTTATACATACTTTGTTCCTCACCTGCTTTGGCATATTAATTGTTGGGAGTAGATTAGATACGAAGACTTGGATTTCCTCTCTCTCTCTCTCCTCTCCCTCCATTTTCAATTTCATTTCTCTGTATTTCCCTTGCATATTTTACTCCTAAGTAATAAATCTAATAAGCAATGTATTCTGTTTCAAGATTGTGTCAAAACATTAAGATGTGTAGAGCAACAGTGCTCATAAGATGAATCAATACTGTTATTTCATAACAATATAAAATACCCCCGAAATGAATATGGACTAATAAAACAGTACTTACCAGGAAGTGTGCAAACCAGCAAATTTCTGCTCCTCCATTACAACACCAAACTTCTACCATATATCAACTTATGAGGAGCATCTTCACCTAGCTTTTCTTTTGCACAAAATAGAGTAACTGGAATGGGAAACAACTTGCACAATTTGGACAGCAATGCTAGTCAGAAGCTGCATCACCACCCAACTACAATCTCTCATTGATATCTTCTTTCGCCTTCAACATCATTTCATCTCAACTATTTTGACCAGCATGTCCAGCTATAAAAGCGAAAAGAGTACTCTTTGCTTAAAAATACACTTGAAATCTTCATTTTGCTACTAAGCTCAATTAACCCGAAGCTCTGCTGCAGAGCTCTAACAATTGAGCTCTGCAGCAGAGGTAGGGTACTATGACTCCTTTGTGACCTGTGGACTTCAACTCCCAGAATTCCTGAGCCAGCATGGCTGCCTCAGGAATTCTGGGAGTTGAAGTCCACGGGTCATAAAGGAGTCATAGTTCTCCGTCCCTGCATACAAATATACAGTTACAGAGATTTAGCGGCATCTATAATGAGCCCAAAGATTTCGCAGCAGTAAGCTATCTTTTTTGGTAACTCTACTCGTCCTGAAGCATCAGACCCAAGAATTTCCCGTTTGGATTCTCGTCCCGTTCACTGACCTGAAAGCCGCCGCACCGCAGCAAATGCAGCCATCTTCCTTCCCTGCTCTCCGTTCTGCCTCGCTACGGCAACTGTAGGGAGTCAATACTAAGCAAAAGCGAAAGTGAATTTACGCAGCATTCTGCCGCTTTTCATCCGTTGCTTGTAAAAATCAGGAGGGTGTTTTTTGTCACATTGTATGATAAAATAATGACAAATGTAATAACGTGTATAATGTGTAATCTACTGAAGACTAAAAACTCATATGATTGTAGACTTGCTGCCTTTTGAGGTAACACAAGGTTTTCTTTAGCGTGTATATATAATCACTGCTTACTTTGTCTGCCAATTCTGACAGCAACTCTTAAAATTCTCCTATAATTTTATTAAATATAAAATCTCATACAGAACTATTTGACATGATCTACAAAAAAACTATCTGAAAATAAATTTGTTAATCCCAAAGATGTCATAAGATTTGGGTTTTTCCTACAAAAGTGTCAGGAAATTTCTTTTGGAAATTAATCCAAGAATATTACTCTTTATAATTTTCTGATTTATTGGGCCACAGATACCATGCTAGTCTCTAATACTTTTTTATTTTGGCTGAGTTGTTGTATAAATGATTGTATAAATGCTAACTCTGGCTTATTCACTAGATCTCAATTAAGCAAAACATGTACATTTAATACATATTGTAGAAAGTTAGCACCCACCCCTCTCCTAGAGGAATATTTTAGGAAATATTAAAAAGGCAGAATATGATATTTCCCTGGATGAGAAGAAAAAGAAACATGTTTTAAAGATAAAGCAGCTCTCTGCAGCTCCCTGCGCGCCCCCCCCCCCCACCTTCAGCTCCAAGGTGATGGGATTAAGACATGGCCCTCAGGATATGATAGGATTAGCCCTCTACCCATCTACCAACAGAATGCACCACATAGCACCTGGGGAGATTGCATCACTCAGCAAGATTCAACCAAGCAGATAACCTACATGGGAGTCTTGACAACCAATCAGAATACATTTCTTACATAGGAACAGGAAGCTCAAGGTGCGGCCCGAGAGAGGGTATAAATCTCTCTCCCTCTCTCACCCATGTGCTCTTTTTGCCCAGGACCTTAAACCATGTGTTCCTGTCCATCTTTCCAAGCAGTCTCCGTGTTTCCAGTGTCTTTCTTCCCACTTGGAATTGAACCCAGATGGACTTTTCTTCCAACAATAGTATAAGCAATTATTTACCATGTTGGACTATTTCTACAGTCTTCCATTCAAAATTATTGCATATCCAGATCTGAAGCACAATTAATATGCTGTTTTCACAATATGAAATGAAATCCCAGGCATTTTTTTAAAAAAATATCATTAAATCGTTCAATTGATTAACATGGTGTGCTATGTCATAGTCTCTATTATTTTTGTATCCTGCTTTTATTATTTTTACAAATAGTGAACAAGGCAGTGAATGTTTCCAAACACATTTTGCTCACAACAGCCATGTGTGGAGGATTGGGCTGAGGGACAATGATTGGCACAAGGTTACCCAACTGGCTTTCATGGCTAAGACTGGACTTGAACTCACAGTCTCCCTCTTTATAGTCTGATGCCTTACCTTACTAGACCAAACTGTCTCTGATTTAGTGAGTTCTTATGCCCTGGCATCTACTCTACAACACACAATTCTTAATCCAGGTCAGGTTTATTATATTATTTGAACCTGAAATATCAGCATTCAGTATATATATTCATATCCCTCTCATACTCCTTTTTCAAATAAGCAAATTTATGCAGAATGCAGAAAAGAATAAGGAATAGGAATGCAAAGGAATTATAAGAAAAAGAGTGAACAATCCATAAATATAGTTTACACCAAGTCATTTACTGTACTTCCCCATGCTTTTCTATCCTAACAAATTATTGGGATTATTGAATGACAGAAGCATTAAAGCCAGGAATCAGCTATGCTGGAAAACTTAAATCCAAGAGACAACATACATCAATCAAACAAACAAACAGGAAAATAACAAACTTCAGATAACAAATAGCAAGAGCCTTGGTAGTACAGTGGTCTAAAGCACCCTGTTATTAAGATCAGCTACCTGCAATTACTGCAGGTTCGAATCTCGCCAGGCTCAAGGTTGACTCAGCCTTCCATCCTTTCTAAGGTAGGTAAATTGAGGACCCAGTTGTGGGGGCAATAAGATGACTTTGTATAAATATACAAAAGGATGAAGACTATTGCTTAGCGCATTGTAAGCCGCCCTGAGTCTCCGGTGAAGGGCGGCATATAAATCAAATGAAAAAAAACAAACAAACCTACTCTTATTTAATTTATATCCTGCTTTCTATGAAGAATTAAAAATCACAGGATAGTTGAAACTCTAACAGTGCTGTGTCAACAAATATGGAATATGAGTAAATGACTGGAGTTCAAGAGGAAGATTGTTATCCCAGTGCCACCTGATACTGCTTTTCAAAAAATATACATAAAATACATGAAATGAATAGGGGAAGGGAAAAGCAATAGCATTTTATGAGGTTCAGACAACATAAATTAAACAAAACATGTCTGAAATTGCAGAGTGGTATACCTTTTATATCTTTAACAGTATTAAGAGGTTGATATTATGCTGCTTTAGTATTTTATGATGTTAACCCTGAACATGAACATAATTCAATTTAATTATTCTTTTTTATAACTTCCATGAAAATGCTGTGGTAGTGCATGTTTAGAATAAACATTCGAATATAACATTGTTCCACGTTTTATTTTTTGCTTCCCTCCTTTACCAATAGCACGCTTTGCAAGGCTATTGGCACCGACAGCCCATACTTTGATCAGAACAATTTAAACGTGAAAAATTAAAACTGATTTATTTATATAATTCTTTTTTTAATTTGAAACAACGTAGCACACGAAACCTTTCTCCAGAATAAAAAACAAACAAGCAAACAACAGACATGACGCCAAAACCATTCTCCGAGCTCAAGGCCTAAGAGCGACTCATTCATCGCTTCTTAGTACGCGTGGCTGATGACGTTTTGTATTCCAATTGACCGCCATGACAGTCTCTGTATGATAGAGGGAGGCATATTTGCATATTCGCCGTTTAGTCTATTTTGATTGGTAAACCCAAGCTCCTCCCTCGTTAACGTGCCCTGGGCGCTTGTCACTGCGGGGGCAGACAGGCGGTGGCTCGAGACGCTTTTTTTTTTTTTTTTTTTGGAGCTTCGTCGGTCGGTCCTCGGCATCACCATGTTGCGGGTCTGTCAGCGCGTGGCCACCACAGCGGCTCAGGTGAGCAACGCGAGAGAGCTGGTGCCTCCGGCGCCGCTCCAATGTCAGTTGCAGCCTTTTTGTCACGGGCGCCCGCTTCTCGTAACGAATTGGCAGGAGAAACGGAAGAGGAGGCCTCTTGATTCCAGCGCGGCTTAACCGCAGCCGTGAGGGAAAAGCAGTATGTGGGAACTACTCCGTCGCCTCCCCGTTGCAGGAGACCGGGCGAGCAGGGAAATACGGTGGGATGCGGCTGGTTCGCGTGGCGTGCGCTTAAATTAAGCCTACGCTTCCCATCAGGCAGTGCGGGCTGGCGCCCCTTTTTCCAGGGGAGGCGGCTCTGAAATTTCTTGATGCCTCGGCTGGCGGTTACTCCTCCTTCTGCGACAGGCTTAATAAGAAAGACGAGAGCCTCAAGTGCCGACCGGGCATGGTCACCCTCGTTGACTGCTGGGTGGTGGGCAAGGGCCTCTGGGGTTGGCAGGCTCCTTGGGTCACCTCTAATTCGGAGCACGGCCTGTAACTCCTGGAAGCTCTTGGTATTTCAAGGACTTCCTCCACTGTGTTGTCGTGAGAGGCAGCTGAACAACATCCAGCCATCCATGCTAGTCACAGTCTTTGTGGCCACGGTCTTTGTGACAACATAGGAAGACTATGACCTTGCTTGAAAAGCAATTTCTTAAAATTACTTATTGCTCTCAGTATTTCCTTTTTTAGGAAGAGAAAGAATGTGTAATCTGGAAGATCTGTTCCTTCGTGAAAAGGTGTGAAACAGGTAGAGGTGGTTTTGGTGCATTCAACCCATACTTTTGAAAAAAAACAATTCGATTTAGCATATTCCACAACTTTCTTCCTAGTACTAAAAACATCCAATGCATACGTTTCGTTTATTCTAATATTCCTTTAAGTTTAGTTGCAAAATAAACCTTTATAGAATAACTTTTCCATTCTTTTTTTAAAATTTAGAATATCTTAGGATTCTAATCAATTGTATCTTTGGACCGTGGAAACATGGAACACACTTTAGCCCCCTAGAATAGCCCCATAGTGCAAGAGATGGAAAACAGGGCATTTGACTCCTTGCCACATGATTGGAGAAATAACAGGAGTCAGTAGAAACATCAGAAGTTTTGTGCAAAGATCAATGACACAATGGAAGATATGGTTGCTGGTCAGTGGTGATAGAATGGGAGAGGTTAATATCAAGAGAGGAATTTTACAAGGAGACTCATTTTTGTTTGTCATTGCACTGATTCCTCTGTAAACAATACTGAGCCATAGCTAGCAAACAAAAACATCTGCCAGGCTATTTACATAGATGATTTAAAGCTATTATGGAAAGACACCATCTGAAATAGAAGCACTATTCTGTCCATATACATAGCTAAGATACTGCAATGGAGTTTAAACTGGACTAATGTGCCATGCTTATCATCAAATGAGGAAACATAGTGAAAACTAAAGGAATCAAGATGCACTATGGAAATATCACTAAGAGTCTGAATAAAGACAGTCTTGTAAATAAATACCTGAGTGTCCTTAAAAGTTGATGGCATCAAGCACATTGAAGTCAAGAAAAAGATTAGAAGTGAATATATCAGGAGAGTGAAGAAGATCTTGAAGTCAAAACTCAAGGGGCTTAGTGGAAACACTATCAAGGCAATCAACACCTGAGTAATTCCAGTCATTAAATACACCTCTGGAATAGTGGACTAGACTCAAGCAGAACTAAGGGTCCTGGATATGAAGACCAGAAAAATAAAGGCAATGAATCAAGTGATCTATGTAATGATGTTGATAGACTTTACTTACCAAGGAAAATGGGTAGGCATTCAATGTTGGAACTCCATCAGGTAGTTGAAGAAAAGAAAAAAGGGCATTGGAAGAATATCTGAAGGATAGTGAAGATGATTCACTGAAGCTAGTACACCAGGAAGGCTTACTGAATATTCAAGAGATCAAAATGCCTTACAGGAAGGGCCACATGAAGGACAGAAAGGAGGCATGGGAAGACAAAGCATTACATGGCCAGTATATAAAAAATTGGAGAGAAAGTAGATAATAATACCTGGCAATGCCCAAGAGCAAGAAAGTTGAAGAAAAAGAAATGGGCTGATTCTGGCTGCACAAAATCAAGCTTTAAGGACAAATGCATACAAAGCCAGATTTGAGAAGACAACAACAAGTAGCAGTGCCACTTCTGCAAAGAAGCTGAAGAAACAGCTGTTGCAAGAAGATCACACTGACTGACTACAAGCAACAACATGACAAAGCAGCAACAATGGTATTTTAAAATCTGCAAGAAATATTTGCCTGGAAGCAAGAACTGATGGGATCATAAAATAGAGAAGGTCATAGAAAATGAAGAAGCTAAATTGCTCTAGGACTTTAGGATCCAAACAGACAGGCACCTGCCACATGACACCCCAGACTTAACAATTGTCAGTAAGAAAAAAAGACTGGATAGTGGTCCAGTCAACTGGAGAAGATAACAAAATACCAAAGCGGTAAATAGAAATAGAATGACTGTGACAGAAGTAAGCAGAGATAGCCCCAATAGTAATAGTCATCTTGAGTGCAATCCTAAAACAACTGGAGCACCACTTGAATACCATCGGCATTGACAAATTCACCCTCAATCAATTGCAAAAGCAGCCTTAATTCAGAACAGTTTACAATCATCCACATAGCCTACCAAGGGAAGAATTGGATAGGTGGATAAAAATGCCAGATCCAGTCCAGACATCTAGGATGAACCATAATCTTGATTTTCCTTTGGAGTTCAATTGTTAACAATTACTGTGTTTCCCCAAAAATAAGACCCTGTCTTATATTTTTTTTGAACATTGAAATAAGCGCTTGGCCTTATTGCAATGTGCTCAAAAGCCCAGTTGGTCTTATTATCAGGGGATGTCTTGTTTTGGGGGAAACAGAGTATATTCTGTTTTTTAATTTATGAGGGGGTAAATGAAAAATGTCATGATGCACAAACTATGTGACATGTCATTACATAATCATTGCATGTGTGGCCATTTTAACATGGCTTATTACAGATGCTGTGATTAATGCTGGTTTACAGTAATTTGTTAAAAGTATCAAATAGTACATTTTAAAAGAAAATAGCAGTTAACAGGTTGCATTTAGCATTTAAGAAACAACATGAAAGAAAGTTATTTGAAATGAAGCCTGAGCTTCCACCTCAAAAGTAAGCAGCAGCATGGTCAAATAAAAGGCTTTGGATATTATTACTGAAAAAATCCTTGTTTACATCTAGATTTATTTGTACTATAGTTATTTTTTTAAACATAATGATGCTTACTATTTATAATTATACTAATTATAATCATAATATTTACAATATTTTAGCACATCTATTATATGTCAATTTTAATGCTTGTGGATTTGAATAGGGTGGTTCTATTATTTTAAAATTTACCTAAAATTAAAATGGATTCCATACATTATAGTTGGCATAGGATCTTTTTGATACATATTGTACTTCCATATTTACATAATTTAAACGTCTTTCAAATTTAATAAATCTTGAATGTCAGTAAAAAGGCCAACATCCTCAATCCAAAATATAAAGAATTATTCCTTAGACTGCAGGCAGATCTGTTGCTTCTGATTTTCTTTTCCTTTTTTTTAAATCTCGGAAACCTTATCTAATTGCTGCTGAAATTTGGCAGCATGGTTTCTATCTCTTAAGCGAACAATATAAAAGAACTAGAGTTAAAATAGGTTAACAGTTTTAAAACCATAATCAATGTAGCCATATCCATTTTTCCTCTAATTCCTGTTCATTATTGTCCTTAGCCCTCTACTCTTTAAAATTTAATATTGGTTTATTATTCATATTACTGTATGGCATTCTCAAGGAATTTAAGAGGTATTATTCCCAGTTTCAATTTTTGTACCCCTGTTCTGTGAAAATAGTTGGACTAACAGAAGTTGCATCTAAAATTCTGCATGTGCCTTATTGACAGACACCTCATTGTATCAGTATTCTGTTTAGAAAAACATTTTCATGGCTTTTTGTTAACAATTATATACAGAACATAGGCATTTCTTTAAGTGCTTCCCAATTTTTAATTTTATGATACAGCCATTAGACTTTCAGTTAATTTCAGTAATTACAGTAGTTAACTGTAGGACAGTAGCTCTTAAATTCCATGGAGTAGCATATTCTGGGAATATCTTGTACAATAGGTGTGCTACTTATTTTTGTGTTCAGTCACTCAGGCCTTGATCATCTCGCACTTGGACTAATGGAACACATAAATGGGTCTTGTATGAGAAGCTATAGCGGATCAGAATGATATCTGCATACCAAGTAGCATCTCAGTAGCACTCATCTATCCAATGAGTGCACGTAACCATCATAACTGAGATGCTACTTGGTATGCAGATATCCAGAATATCCATATTGGTCCCTCATATTCTTAAAAAAATTAAAAATTTATCTGTGTTCTTCAGAGAAAAGTGTGTTAATGTTATAAATCTGAAGTTCCAGTCTGACAACTTGTGATGCAGATTATTTTCTGCATTGAACATTATTACATTCTACTTTTATGGAAGAAAATAATCAAATTGGACAATGTTTTTATCCAACAGTTCAATTAGATGAGAACTGAAGATAAGGCTAAGAGTGCCAGAGAGATTAAATACAATTCTAGACACCCTTTGCAGAATAGTATAATCTTTTTCATTTCAAGTAGATGAAAGTTCTGATTCAGCAGACACGTTTGATGCGTTTGTTAGATAGGACTATGAAGGGTCTGTTAGAAGAAAAATCCAGTCTTGATTCCAAGCCGGGAGAAAAGCGTTGGAAATAAAATGGAGGCTGACTGGCTACAAAGAAAGAAGTTTCTTTATGAGCAGAACCAACAACAGCATGTAGTTCTGGGACAGCTTACTCCTTGGCTTAGGAATGGATGGTTTTTTTATAGGGTTCTGAGATGCTCTAGAGCAGGGGTGTCAAACTCAAGGCCCTCAGGCAGGATCTGGCCCGCGGGGTGCTTAAATCTGGCCCGGGGAGCTGATCTGGAAATAGCAAAGGACCGCCCCACAGTGCCTCGGCTAGCAAAAACAAGGTGCAGGGGGGCTGCGTGCAGCCCCCGTTTTCAGCCTGGATGGCCTGCACTCTGCCAACAAAAATGGGACGCAGGGTGGACACAAGGGGCCTCCCACACCCTATGTTGGCTGGCAAGGTGCTGCAGGAGGCGTTCGTCCTGTTTCTCCCCTGGTCAGATCGTGGAGGAGAATACAATGCTGATCTGGCGCTCAAAGAAATCCACTTTGACACCCCTGCTCTAGAGGGTTGTGCAATTGAGCCCTGTGTCTTCTGATATTCTAATGGTGGTTGGTAAATCGTATTATGTTCTAAAGGCCATGTCCTGTTCTTAGAATGTGGATGGGGGATGTAAATTTTAATCAGTTCCAACCTTTTGTGTGTTTTGCTTATTAATAGATCGGCACAAAATGTCCATCTCTAAAGGCTTCAGGCATCTGCTGGGGCTATTAAGAAAGACTGGAGCTGCTTTCTGCTTTTAAGAACATGTTTCTCCATTTTTCTTTTGGGGAAACATAATATTCTGTCTCTCTTAATGTTAAGAATAAAAGAATATTTAATCTGGGGAGGGGAGGCTTCCTACAGGTCCAATCAAAATCATTTCTAGTGAGTAATTGTCAGAAATTGTAAACTTATCAGTGATTATACTATTATTATATTATCCTGTTATATACTGTTATAGTGCATTATATTATTCAAAATGTGAAACCTCCAGCCTTTCATCCATGAGTCACTTATACCAATACAACATTTGACTAGTTAACAATAATAACTTACTTAAGCAACACAATTTTTTTCTTTTAAGTGAGATAAATCTGAATGTAAGGCAGTCCTCAATTTATGACCGCATTAAGTCCAAAATTTTTGTTGCTAAATTGTTAAGTGAGTTTTGCTCTATTTTATATTTATTGCCAAAGTTATTAAGTGAATCATTGCAGATGTTAAGTTAGTAACATGGTTATTAAGTGAAACTGGCTTCCTCATTGACTTTGCTTGTGAGGAAGTTGATCACAGGACCCTAGGACACTGGAACTGTCATAAATACATAGCAGTTGCTAAATGTTCAAATTTTGATAATGTGACTATGGGGATGCTGCAATGGTTGTTGATGTCAAAAATGGTCATAAGTCACTATTTTCAGTGCTGTTGTAACCTTGAAGTAACCACTAAACAAATGATTGTAAGTTGAGGACTATCTGTAACAATGCTAAAATTAAGTTCATAAAAAGTTAAATCAAGAATTAAAAACTTGGTGTTAGCAAAAAGTTCAAATTTTTTTCTTTACCATAGTTACAAAAAATATATAGTTTCTATCTCTGATGCAATTTCTGCAGCAATCAAAGAATAACTTTTGATCCAACTGAAAACCTAAATGAATATTTTCTTTATTTTCTTTCCAATTGCTACCAGTAAAATCTGGCTAAGAACCAATTCCTTGTTGGTGCTACAATTAAGAAATGTTACAATTCAGTGCTTTAGAAAGAGATTCATTAATTGAACATTCTCCACCTTAAAAGCATTGTAAGCACTCTCAGTAGATTTTTCTTCGAACTCTAGAAATGAATATTCACATTTATCAGATTTCTAATGCCATTGTCAGTGTATACATGTGGGAGTCTTTCCTAGCATTTAATTTTCTTCAAGAATAAAAAATAATGTTGACTGAACATTTAATCATACTACTAGAGCATGGGTGTCAAACTCGCAGTGTCACATTGCCATCACATGACGTATCACGACAGTTTCCCCCTTTGCGTAGCTGGGATGGACGTGGCCTGTGTGTGATGCATCTGCCCTGCAGGCCGTCAGTTTGATACCCTTGGACTAGAATTTCCTAACATAAATTTGCTTTGTTATGCAAAGCAACAAAAGAATGAATGAACTTTTTTCATTTTTTAAAAGATAGGTGCTTAAATTTGAAAATTAAAAAAATGGTCCCAGTTATTTAAATTATATTACTCTGCTTTAAAGTGATGTTGAGAGTAGCCTAATTGCTGTATTTTGAACCATTGGGAAAAGCTTGGGAAAACTAGAGTATCCTAACATAGATTGTGTTGTAGTACTTTAATTGAATGTAAGCAAGGCATTAAAAAGATTATAAATTAATAACAACCGGTTGCTAAGAGATTTCTGAATCTGGGATGGAAATTACAGTTCTTGATCTGATGTCTTAATCAGATTAACTTCTTGGTCTCATAGCATAGCACTTAGACTTATATACCACTTCACAGTGCTTTACAGCTCTCTCTAAGCAGTTTACAGAATCAGCATACTGCCTCCAATAATCTGGATCCTCATTTTACCAACCTCGGAAGGATGGAAGGTTGAGTTAAGATTCGAACTGCCAAATTGCAGGCAGCTGACAGTCAGCAGAAATAGCCTGCAGTATTGCATTATAACCACTGTGCCACCACGGCTCATAGCTATCCTAGCAACATTTTCCAGGTCATTGGGGGGCGGGGGCGGGGAATCTGTATTATTTGTGGTTTTATGCTATCAAAATATCACAGAAGTTAAACTAAGGTGGGCAGAAGCCAATAAATAGACAGTTATTTGCAAGGCTGCTGTAATAACAATATTAAAGATTAGTAAAACATGAGATAAATTAAATGAATTTGAATTGAATCATTATTCATAACATATTGTATTTTTTTTAGAATTGTCTTTGTAGTAAAAGTTCACTCCGTTCTTCACGACTGTCTCGTGGATATGCCTCATCTAGAGAACCTGGGTATGTAGATTTATAAAACGGTTTTTTAAATTAATTCTCAATAGAGGTGATATAAGGAGCCTTCCTCTAAATATACTGTACAATTGTTATGCTAGCTGGGAGATCTAAGGTATTTTTCTTGATAGAGCAATGCTTTGGATACATATTTTTTTGTATCTTCCTTTATTGAATGCAAGAAATAAAAACCGTTACAAAACAAATGATATGCCAAACTAACTAAAAGTAAATATTATCACGCTTCCAACATTATTATATATCTTCAGGAAAAGCCAATCTTCACATCTCATGTACACATAGTCCTTGCTTAAGAACTGGTCATTTTATAACCATGTGAAGTTACAATGGCGAGATAATGGATGCTTCATTTTAATACATAGCATAACACTGTTCTTATTCCTACCTTACTGTTTTCATAAAGATCTGCTTACCTTCAGATAACTTTGTGAAATATAATTTAGAAGAAATAAAATAAGAAACTAATGAATGTTTTTTGTAATAACATGTTTTCTGCCATATACTTATTTTTCCATTTACTGATTATTTTCACTTAAAGGAAGTGGGTGCTAGTGAGTGTTCCAATACAAGGCAATTTATATTTAGTGTCATACTGATGCTCTTTGAATATTTTAATGCAAAAGAATTTCTGATAGAAAAGTTACAAGAACTTATTTTAGAAGAACCAATGAAACACAAAAGCGCTGTTAGGTGTACCAGTGAATTTTCATACTGGTTTTATTAAACAGCCAATCATTTCCTATGAATACAGGTAGTTCTCAACTAACAACCATAATTGAGCCCAGAATTATAGCCGTAAATCATTGTGGTCTTTAAGTGGGTCACTATGTGACCAGGCCCAATTTTATGATATTTTTGCAGTGGTTATTAAGCAAACATTGTGATCATTAAGTGAATCCAATATATCCATTGGGCACTTTTTCTTGTAAACTAGAAATAAACATTGAAAACCAGCAAAAAATATCGAAAAGTATGGTCATATAACCAAAGAATGCTGCAAACAGCCATCAAGGGCAGCTTGTTGCCAGAACCCAAAATACAATCTCATGACCACAGGATAATGGTGCAATTGTAACCTTGAAATTGGGTTTTAATTACATTTTTTTGGGGGGGGGGGGGTCTGTCATAACTTTGAATTGTTGCTAACCGACCCATCATAAATCAAGGGCCAGTTGTACTCATAAATTATGTTTGGGAAAACTCTGTTCACAGCTTGCCTTAAGTGTTTAAAGTTGAGAAAAGGAAAAATCCCACTTTACCTTGAATTATATTAATGTTGCAAAGAGCAGTTGTGCTGTCCTGAAGAAGAAGCTGCTTTGAGAAGTTTCTGACAGATGTTCCCAAGCAGTTTTTTATCTTCAAATCCAGCCTTAGTTATAATACATTGGATTATATTTTATATATTATTGGGAATAGCATTTATGTAATGATAATGATTTACAGAAGTTTGAAATTTCTCTCATTTGCATCCAAAGATATATGATGCTGATACTTACATACAGATAGTTAAGGCTTTTTGATTGTTAACAAGAAGTTAACCTAGGAAGAGAGTAAGGCTTCCTAATATATATCTGATACTCTTCTTTCTGTTTTTTAAAAAAATACATATCTAAAAGGCTTTTTTTTTTTTAACAGTGTTTCTGCAGGAAAAATAATTGGTGCCAGTGTTTTGTTTGTTGGTGGAGGAATAGGTGGAACTATTTTATATGCAAATTATGATCCACGCTTCCGAGAAAATGTAGAGAAGACAATCCCTTATTCCAGCGATTTGTTTGAAATAGTTTTGGGTCCTCTTCCTTCTAATATTTCAACACCAAAGAAACCAGTAAGTTTTTTTTTCCTGAAGTGATATATGCTTTGTTTCCCTAATTTTAAATTGCATTTAGGTTTTGGAATATATTATATATATGTAATTCAAGAAGCTTCTTCAGGATATAATTTCTTTTCTAGAATGTATAAAGGTTACCTCAAAAAGATTATTTGATTTTGAGAATCCCCTTTAAAGACCTTCTGGTTGAAGTTCTGATACTGTTCTTAGTTTATTAACTTTTAGCTTGTTTAAACTTTAGGGCTATGTTTTTATCCTTGAAAATGAAATTCTTTCCTTGTGAACTTTATTTATTTCATAGCTAAGATGAAATTCATGATGAAGTTATATCATGTTACTAAGTACTGAGAAAGCAAAAGGAATTTTCTTTTTCTCTCAGTGGGAATGAAGCACAAATAAAAAAATTAAAATTATAGCAAGAAAACCTCCTAACTAATGGAACTAAATATTTTTTCCCACAGATACAGTCAGCTCCACTAAATATATCTTCTGTAGCAGAAGTAAAGAAAGAATCTAAACAAGCAGTTGTGAGATCTCCAAAGAGCAAAACGGATACTACTTCAGCTACTACTGAAGAAAAAGAAGGTAAAAACAGACTATTGCCCTAAAATCCCACTAAGCAACAGTGTCCTATTTATGAAAGATTCAATGTTTGAAACTAGCTGTTATTTTAAACTAGCTCTAATCTATTTTTCTTTTGAGAGTATTAATACCTGCGTGTCCTTTTATATTAAGTGCTTGTTGTTAACATCTGTTGTTGAAATACTCTTTAAAATATTTTATGTATAAAATTATTAAAATGTTAACAGCATTTTGTAACAAATAGAAGAACCACAAATGTTCAGAAAATTATTGATGAATGTATAGTCAAAGAACAAATTAAAAGGAAAAATACCAGAAATTGTTGAGACTAATTAAATAAATTAAGAGAAGGAATATATGTAATAGATTGAATAGATTTAATTAAATAAGATAAAATATTTTATATGTATATACAAAGAGTAAGAAAGTAAATAGCATTAGGAATCTTTATGGATTCTCAAATATCTAAGCAATTCTTACAGCAGCTATAAATAAAATTTTAGAAATATCAATAGAGATACTTGCTGATATAAAGTGTATAGTTTGGCACTCAAATTAGAAATAATCCTTATACTTACCAAGAAAGGGAGACTATATTAGAATCAGTTTCCAATATTGAAATAAGGGGAAGTACAAGAGAACATGAGTTACTGATTTAACTTTCTGAGGATATGCAGTTATGATTTCATTGGAAAATATTTTTATACTGGCATTCCGCATGTTTGTTAGCAGGTCATTAAATCTTGCTAATCTGAATACTTTTCAGCATGACAGAGAAAACTTCGTAAAATAATTAGGGATAACAAAAGAATTGAGATAAAATTCTTTAAGATAATTTGGAACATTAGATCAGCCAGTTTGTTAATCAAGATCTAAAACATGTTGCTTTATTTTAGAAATAGCTTTCTCCAAACTAGTTGTCATTGGTGATTAGATTGGTAGGCCATAATTGGAAAGATAATTTCCTATGGCTTTTTAGAGAAAGGGTTGAATTTTTCTTTAAGAACAAGTAGGACTGGAGATTTGCTTCCAAAATCTAGTTGCAGTCAGTATCTCAGGTGGTGGCCTCACATACAAAACAGTTATTAGAAGAATCTCTAGTTTAAGTTAAAATAAAACATTAAAAATGAATTGATAAGCATGGGACATCATATTTTTATAAACACAAAATGGAGTACAATTAGATTACCATAGCTCTATAAAATTTGATTGCTGCTGGAAAAAAAGTACTACCTATATCTACCTGATTATTACTTTTAAATCCTTTATGCGCAAAGTAAAGATTTACCTATTTTTTACTTCTATGTGGAAAAAGACTGAAATGCCATACATTGGTCTTTAAAGCATTTGGTTTATTCTGTTTATATACTATTTAGATGGCAATTGGAATATTAAGAAAAAAACTGCCTTTGCATTTCAATAATTAGTTTCAAGCTTTCCATATTGACAGAAGTTAGCTTCTTTTCTGCCTCAAATAAGATTTTGGAAGAGCTTCCAAAGTCCTCCTTGAAGCAAAGAAGGAGAGGAGGGGCAATAGCAGTGGCATGGAATAATGCATGAATGGAGTTTATGTACATTTTACAGTGCCAATCATTCACTTAGTTCACTGTGATCATAGGTCATAACAACATGATATAGAATACAAAAGAAATGAAATTAGAAAAAGAAGAAAAAGAAAAAAAAACAACCCCAAAAAGTATATAAAAGAATTACATTTGAGAGCCCATTTGGTGTAGTGGTTAAGTCAGGGTTAGTTTCAACCCAACCTACCTCATAGGATTTTTGTAGGAAGAGGCAGGGGTGTTATGTATGCTCACCTCATTGAGTTACTTATGAAATGAGATGGATGGATGGATGGCAAGAAAGAGAGAGAGAGAAAGAAGAAAAGAAAAGATAAAAATCAGTACTATTTAAAAGAAAGCTTTGTAAACATAGTGATCTGGCTATTAACTATTGGATCACATCCCCGAGAACATAGTTCAGTCATTCAGCATCCAATCCTTTATGTATCATCAATATTTACAGCAGGCTCAGAAGTCGCTCACATAATCTCAGCAACAGGGGAAGCATTGTCAGTACCAGCTCCAGGAATGCAGCAGGAGGACGAATGCCACAAAAGTCACGTTCAGCAAAAACCTCCTGACTTAGGTATCTTTTGTTTATCTGCAAAATTCTGAAACAAATATAATTATGGAAATTCAGAGTTAGATCCATTATATGTGAATGTTAACTATCAAGATTCTTGCCATCTCTTTGAGCAAGAATTCCTCAATTGATTAATATATGACTTGTTTAATATTCTGCAGGTTTTGTATAACCACTTTTAATATTTTGTTACTGATTGTGCTTAGTTTCTTGAGATCCTTAGTGATGTGAAGATTAATAATTTTGTCCTTTAAGATAGCAGTTGGTTTAAAATGATTAATTTTTATGACTGTAATTTAAAATTTCACATTGTCATCTGCCTAATTACTGCTTTTAGTAACCAAAGCAGTGTATGTGCGTGTGTGTGTATACACACACGCACACAACTACAATGTGGCAAAAAAGTCATAAAAGTATTTATTTTGTATAGAAAGTGATAAAACTTACTTATTTTGGTTATGAGGTTAACTTCTCTCTTTAGTTCAAATGAAGTTTATTTCAAAGACTGAAACAATTAATGATATGATTTATTTGTTAACAAAAACTAACATCCGTCTGAATTTTTATAGTTCTATTATTGCTATATTCCTTTCTTGGCATTTTTACATATTTCTACAGTAATATTTGATTTTGGGACCTATTAATGAAAAAATGGGCATGCATTATCTTTTATTCTTCATACATTATTGGGTTTTAATCTATTTTTATATTATTCAAAGTAAGTTAAAATACAAAACACCAGTTGAATACTGATTAATATATGACACCAATATTAGCTTCCCACCCCTTGCAAAACAGACCCCAAAATATTTTAAATTATTAAACTAGTAATTCTATTAACCTGCCTTATATATTTTTGAACCCTGAAATAAGCACTTGGCCTTTTTGCTACGCACTCAAAAGCTCGATTGGGCTTATCAGGGGATGTCTTATTTTGGAGGAAACAGGGTATTAATGACAGAATAGTTAAGAAGAGGAACAACAGTAATAAAGAAGGCAAGATCTAAATTTCAAAACCTTCTGTTAACAAACTGTCTTGTAATGAACTCGTAGAAAATTTACCATGGCTACTTAATGATCCCAAATGATCCCAAAAATTAACACTGGTCCATCCTGGATCAAATATGTTTGTTTCTTAAAACCATCTCTTATTAATTGTTGTCTGATTAAATATAATTAGTCCAATCTCCAAAGCCAGCATATCTTCTCCAAAATTGTTTCCCAGTTAAGTGTGATAAATCCATTCCCCAATCTTCTTCAGTCCCCTTAAAAAAAGAACAATTTATCACTTATCCACTCAGTTTTGTGCTATTGTATAAGAATGCAGATTTGAACTTTAGGGAGACATAGGGAATTGACTCAGTTAGTTTTAAGTTGTAGAGTCCATATTTCGTCCCAGCAAATATACTGCTTTCAAATCACATTCCTTTGGTGGGTTTAATGTATCTACATTTACTTGCCTCTGAATGTTTTCCACAACCGTTATCAATTCATCAAACATTTTTAAAAAGCTTTCAGCTGGGAATTGCGTGTTACCAAACTGTCTTTTTTCGAGCATCAATGTCTCTCCCTTGTTTGTAATATGATATGTTGTTGCTCTATATAGTAGATAAGAGAGTTCTTCATAAGGAAATAGAGAGAGGAGCAGAGAAGATATTTTCTGGATATTTTGATCTGAAATTAAAACAAAGATTGAGAAAGATAAGTTCCAAATGTTATGCAAATTAGTAAAATAGAAAATCCCTGCAGTGAATGTCCAATAAAAATGTAAATCAAGTAAAAACTTTCACTATCCAGGAACATCCTGTGATTTTTCTACAAAAAATCAGAAATTAATGAAAACAGCCAAATAAATCAAGGGAAAAAAGCAAAAAGAACAGATAAAATCTAGCATGGGGTTGAAATAAATCAGCATTCAACCAGCCAGTTTTAAAGATAAAAACCAAAGCAAAATACAAAAGTTAAAGTTAAAACCCAGGCTTGCTTACAAGAACTCAGAAGAAAAGATGATTGAAAGATTAACCTTCTAGCTGCTACTACTACAGGGAACTGCAGTCTACTGGTCAGCAGCCATTTTGGAGAGGAGCCTCATTATTGGGTTTATTGTTCAATTGAAACTTGAAGTGTTAAAAAAATCTCAATAAAATATCCTAGATTTTTTTGGGGAAAACTTTAGCAATAAAATATGAAGTTGAGAAAATAAAAAATATAAATATTGTTCTTTTTTTTTCTTTTTATTTCTGATAGACTACTTGTCTTAATAATGTTTATTTTTATTTATTTATTTATTTTATTCAATTTGTATACTGCCCTTCTCCTAGTGGACTCAGGGCGGTGCACAGCCAAAACTAAAACACATGACAATACAAAATTTAAAATTATTAAAAGAATTATATACTTTGGCCCAATTTTAAAACAATTCGAATTAAAACCCATTGACAGATTAAAAGCTAAACAACTAAAAAACTAAAAAAGGGGGGTGTTCACGCCAGCCCTGCTTGATGGAAAAGAAAAGTTTTCAGGGCACGGCAAAAGACCCGGAGATCCGATATCCTTCTTATCTCCGGGGGCAAATCGTTCCAGAGGGCAGGAGCTGCCACAGAGAAGGCGCTCCCCCTGGGGGTCGCCAGCCGACATTGCCTGGCTGACGGCACCCTGAGGAGTCCCTCTCTGTGGGAGTGTACTGGTCGGTGGGAGGCTATCGGCGGCAGAAGGCGGTCCCGCAAATACCCAGGTCCTATGCCATGGAGCACTTTAAAGGTGGTAACCAACACCTTGAAGCGCACCCAGAAGGCCACTGGAAGCCAAAGCAGCTCACGCAGGAGAGGTGTCATATGGGAGCGACCCTCGCTCCCATAATCCCCCGCGCGGCCGCATTCTGCACCAGTTGGAGCCTCCGGGTACTCCTCAAGGGGAGCCCCATGTAGAGAGCATTGCAATAGTCCAGGCAGGAAGTGACGAGCGCCTGAGTGACTGTGTGTAAGGAATCCCGATCCAGAAAGGGACGCAACTGGCGAATCAGGCGGACCTGATAAAAAGCCCCCCTGGCCACGGCCGTCATATGCTCTTCTAAAGACAGCCGTGCATCCAGGAGGACGCCCAAGTTGCGAGCCCTATCCGTGGGGGCCAATAACTCGCCCCCAATAACCAAACATGAGGATGTTTGCCTCATCCTTTTTATTTTCTCCTTTAGAATAACTTAACATGAATATGACTTGAAATACACACACACACACACACGCACAATTTTATTTACTACTTTTGTAACTATTTTTAAATCCCTTTTTAGTGAAATCTTATTGAGAAAGAAATTCTTCTATGTAATTTTGTAAAAATTCAAGATATCTGTCATAGTATTTAGATGTCATAATGAAATAGATTTAAGATGTACTTTTGTATATTTCTGCCCCTACATCTTGGATGTATACTTTCTTAACTTAGCGAACATCCTCTTTGAAAGACGCTAATAAGAAAATCAGTTATCAGAAGTTATTCCATTGATTTCCTCTGACCTTAACAAATGTTTAGTCCAAGGTTTGAAAAAGGAATGCATTTACAGATTATAGTAGTATTCATAAAGGTTTTTGTGGTCTGCTGCTACTATCTTTCATAGTAAGCTAAAATTTGTGGATATCAGGATTTTGCTTTTTTTTTTTTTTTTTGTTATCTGTTTTTAGTATGTTTTCTTAGATAAATTTTACATTTTGTAAGGCTTTCCCCTCAGGCAGCCATAATCTCCACTTTCAAATTGTGCGTCTGTGTTCTCTATTTTGGAGTTGAAGGTACAAACAGAGTTTCATTTTGGCACTGATCAACTGATCAAGATACTTAAATTCCCACTATGAAAACACAGGCCTAAATTTTATTTTAGAACTAGAAGAGCAACATCAAAAGAGCAACTCCTGTTTCTTTCTTTAGTCAGGTGTTACAAGAAATGGGAAATTTTCCATACTTGTACTGAATTCTCCACAGCTCAATGTCAGTGCATAGATTTTACTCTGGCTTCCCAGATGCAGAGTAGTGTTAAAAGCTGCAATGTGTCTTCATACTATTTCGACTGTGAGCAGAAATGTGGATCTTAGTTGTTCATGCTGTAATTTCAAGATTATGTCTAATGTTTGTCTTAATGCCATTAGAATGACTGAAGGCATAATTCAATCATCAAACAGTCATTCCTAATTGGTTTAAGACAAGGTATTAGGAGGACATTTAATATACCTGCAAAATCCTTTTTAAGCACACAGGCCATTATAGAAATCTAACAAAGAAGTCACTTTCTTAAAAATAAGGTGTGCTTAGTATTGGTTTTCCTTTCAGTATTGTGCTTAAAAATATCTATACCTAGGTAAAGAACATCGTCATGGTGATGCTATTGTAAAAGAAAGGCCGCCTGAAGAGGTTGCAGCTCGTCTAGCACAACAAGAGAAAGAAGAACAAGCGAGAATTAAGGGTATGTAGGTAGATATTATGGCTACTTTTATACAATTTCAAAAATATGATTTTAATTTCAGTAGCTCTAAAATAAACCTTAATGGAATTGTTGGCTTTACCCCTGAAAAGATAAGTAATTTATGTGGTTCATATTCATTTTACAACATTTAAAGATATTCTGATTAAAAATAGATTAATGGGCTATTTTAATATACATTTTATTTGGTTTAAGTTGTATTGCTTCTTATGAAGTGGCAAAGTTGTGTTCCAAAATATAGTCTGGAACCATGGACTAGTATGTAGAAGTACTCCATGAATACAAAGCCATGATGAGTGAATCTGGAACTTTAGTGCTTTAACGTAAGTCAGAATGGATAGACAGCCAACTTTAAATACTTAAATCTGGTTTCTGGTCTTGACTTGTCTGCAAACATTTAACTATACTGCTGGTTTTGCATTTCATGAAAAATTAGTCAAATGCCAGATCTTTGGTTTTCTTTTTAATTGTAAGAGAATCATGAAAAAATACATTAAAAATTAAACTGGAAGATTAAGTTAACTATGTAAGGTTAATGATCAATACAATGAATTACAGTTTTTCGCCTTTTCCTTTCTAGCCCTTGCAGCATCCTTGGAAAGCGCTTTGAATAATACTGCTCGTATCACTTTGCAAGCAGTTACTCTCCAGGAAGCTGCTGTTCAGGCGGTCAATCTTCATGCTCAAAAACTGAAAGAAGCTATGGATAACTCTGAGGTGCACATGTTTTATATTTATTATATGTTACAGTTTTGTACGTTTTGTTCGATCTTTTTAATCACTAAGGAAAAGTTGCTAAATATGTCATGTATCTTTAGAGATCAAAACCAATACAAAGGTGGGATGTAAGATATTCAACAGTACAGTAGTCCTCACTTACTAACAATAATTGGGACCAGAAACTCCACTGCTAACAATGCAGTCGTAAGACACAATATCACTTGACTTCCTGCTGGCTTTGCCATTGATTGGTTGGAAGCTGGCAGTGAAAATCACAATAGTGATCACAGGATCGATCATTGGACTTTGCAACCATTATAATTGTGAGCCGATTGCCAGGCACCCAAATTGTGATCACAGATATGGGAATGATGTGACCTTCTTAAGTATCCTTCGTTCAGCGCCATTGTAACTTTGGAATGATGACTGAATGCCTGGACATTAAATGAAGATTACCTGTAATATTATTCACTTATGAAACTTGAGATGATGTTATAGCTTTTTGTTGGAACATATGACATTACTAGGGGAACATTGTAAAAAAAGGAAAAGGCATATGAATAAAATCTATTCAGTTATAGTGCAATAATTGCTCACAACAATGCAAAGTGTGTAACTAAATAAGAAAAAAGGAATCTTTTGTGTAAAACTTCACGAACTTCTGATTGAAAAAAATAACTTGGACTACACCCGTAAGAATCAGATCAGCATGCTCTAGGATTCTCTAGAAAGTTCCATTCCTTGTAATATTTGATTTTGTATATATTTAATTGAAAGTATAATGTTCATACTGTAGAAGGCTATGGTATGGGGTCACACAAATGACTATATCTCCGCAAGTATTGCATCGGCACATGTAACACTTTACCAATGTTAATTGGGGACATGTGTGCATGTTCACACAAAATTTCATCGAAATCCATGATGGTCAAGCAGGGCACTTTTTTGAAATCAGTCCACTTGACATGGAATGACCCAGCTTGGATCTGCCTCCCAGAATACCTCCAATCAGCTGTTCCAGATGGTGGGAATTCCCACCGCCTGGAACGGGCCAAAAGCGGGACGCATGGAGGCAGAAAACGGGGCGTATGGAGGCAGAAAATGGGGCACACAGAGGCAGAAAACAGGATGCACGGGGAAGGCAATAGGTGGTGGTGGTGATGGATGCCGACAGTGCCAATGGACGGCGGCAATCCCCACAGCCTGGAACAGCTGATCGGAGATATTCTGGGTGGCAGATCCAACCACGAAACAGCTGCTCATGCTAAATCAGTCTGTGCTGAACCTGACCAGGCTGTTTGCTACAAGGAGGCAAATTGCTGGGAAGCAGAGGCCAAAGGGTGGGTGGGGCTTTGGCAACATTCACTGTATTTCCATCCATTTTGAGGTGGGGGGGTGAAGTGTGTCTTATAGTCTGAAAAATATGGTGTATGTATGTGTGTGTGTGTATAATTTCTGAATGAAAGCCACTTTTTCAAAGTTAGCGCATTTATACTCCTACTAAAAGGTAGGAAGAACATCTACAAAGGTGTGTATAATCTATGCCACTGATATGGTAGAGTAGAGTAGAGTTAGGAGAACAGAACAATAGAATAGAACAGAACAGAATAGTTTATTGGCCAAGTATGACTGGACACACAAGGAATTTGTTCAATAATGAATAATAAAAATGATAATGTAAATGATAATAATAATGAATAATGAAAATGATTGGATATCTTGAATGTCTTGCTAGGTTCCAAGTGAGAAAAAGGCAGTTCAGTGGCGAACTTTGGAGGAAGCATTGAAAGATCGTAGAAAAGCTGTGGATGAAGCTGCAGATATTCTATTAAAGGCCAAGTGAGTTTTCTAGTTCTTACAGTCAGGTCCAGAAATATTGGGACATCGACACAATTCTAACATCTTTGGCTCTATACACCACCACAATGGAGTTGGAATGAAACAAACACAATGTGCATTAACTGCAGACTGTCAGCTTTAATTTGAGGGTATGTACATCCAACTCAGGTGACCGGTGTAGGACTTACAGCAGTTTGCATATGTGCCTCCCACTTGTTAAGGGACCAAAAGTAATGGGACAGAATAATAATCATAAATCAAACTTTCCCTTCTTAATACTTGGTTGCAAATCCTTTGCAGTCAATCACAGCCTGAAGTCTGGAATGCATAAACATCACCAGATGCTGGGTTTCATCCCTGGTGATGCTCTGCCAGGCCTCTACTGCAACTGTCTTCAGTTCCTGCTTGTTCTTGGGGCATTTTCCCTTCAGTTTTGTCTTCAGCAAGTGAAATGCATGCTCAATGGGATTCAGGTCAGGTGATTGACTTGGCCATTGCATAACATTCCACTTCTATCCCTTCAAAAACTCTTTGGTTGCTTTTGCAGTATGCTTTGGGTCATTGTCCATCTGCACTGTGAAGCGCCGTCCAATGAGTTCTGCAGCATTTGGCTGAATGTGAGCAGATAATATTGCCCAAAACACTTCAGAATTCATCCTGCTGCTTTTGTCAGCAGTCACATCATCAATAAATACAAGAGAACCAGTTCCATTGGCAGCCATACATGCCCACGCCATGCTTCACTGACGAGGTGGTATGCTTAGGATCATGAGCAATTCCTTTCCTTCTCCATACTTTTCTCTTCCCATCACTCTGGTACAAGTTGATCTTGGTCTCATCTGTCCATAGGATCTTGTTCCAGAACTGTGAAGGCTTTGTTAGATGTTGTTTAATCTGGCCTTCCTGTTTTTGAAGCTCACCAATGGTTTACATCTTGTGGTGAACCCTCTGTATTCACTCTGGTGAAGTCTTCTCTTGACTGTTGACTTTGACACACATACACCTACCTCCTGGAGAGTGTTCTTGATCTAGCCAACTGTTGTGAAGGGTGTTTTCTTCACCAGGGAAAGAATTCTTCGGTCATCCACCACACTTGTTTTCCATGGTCTCCCAGGTCTTTTGGTGTTGCTGAGCTCACCGGTGCATTCCTTCTTTTTGAGAATGTTTCAAACAGTTGTTTTGGCCATGCCTAATGTTCTTGCTATCTCTCTGATGGGTTTGTTTTGTTTCTTCAGCCTAATGATGGCTTGCTTCACTGATAATGACAGCTCTTTGGATCTCATCTTGAGAGTTGACAGCAACAGATTCCAAATGCAAATAGCACACTTGAAATGAACTCTGGGCCTTTTATCTGCACATTGTAATTGGGGTAATGAGGGAATATCACACACCTGGCCATAGAACAGCTGAGAAGCCAATTGTCCCATTACTTTTGGTCCCTTAACAAGTGGGAGGCACATATACAAACTGCTGTAAGTCCTACATCGTTCACCTGAGTTGGATGTACATACCCTCAAATTAAAGCTGACAGTCTGCAGTTAACGCACATTGTGTTTGTTTCATTCCAACTCCATTGTGGTAGTGTATAGAGCCAAAGATGTTAGAATTGTGTCGATGTCCCAATATTTCTGGACCTGACTGTATATTACAAAAGATTTTAAAAATATTTGTACTATAAAAATAACAATTGTAGAGTTTTTGTGTTAGATTTTAGTTTCAGTAGTCAGTAATTTAGTTTATACAACAAACTGTACTATAGTTTATTTGGATTGGAGTTAGCGTGTTACTTTCCCAGCTGTTTTGGTTTCTGAACTATTTATAGCTTAAAGGCTAACTCGAGACAGTTTTTGCTTCCACAAAAAATACAGTTAAGCAAACTCTGGGCTGATGATACAGGTAATTCAGATGATTCAGTGACTGGAATCAATAGTTTAATTTTTTTCCATTTAAATTATATATGTCACTTGATTGCATTTCTTAGTGACAGCAATGTTAGAAGTTTGTTACCGTCCTTAAGTGAGGATTGTAGGTTGCTAGGCAAGGACCTCCTTGCAACTTCCTTCTGGTTTCCAAAAAGTACATTCCATGGGGAAACTATCAGGAAGTTGCAAATCTGAAGCAATGCAAATAGGTTGATGGGTAGGTAAATGGCTGCTCTTGGATCAACTGTGACCAGTGACTGGCAATGTGCTGCAAGTGCACAGCCAGGCCGGGAATCACTGCTGCTGGGCTGGGAAGGGTGCACAATGACTGGTGAGATATGACACAAGCATTGGCTAGGCTATGTGTGATTGCTGCTGGGTTGGGGAGATTTACTGAAGTGACTTACTACCTTTCTTGTTGGTTTCCCCCTTGACTTTACTTATAGGAAGCCACCAAGGGGGGTGGAGGGGTCACAAATGGCGATCACATAACTATGGAATGCTGCAGCTTTCACTGTGCAAGCACCCAGATCATAATCATGTGACCGCAGGTATATGGACAACTAGGCCTTTAAAGACCAGTTGTAAGTACATCTTATGCATTCAGAATCACCATAACATCGAATGATCACTGAACAAGTGTCTGAGAACTACATGTCAATAATGCTCAATGACTTCATTAAAAAGGAATTATTTAATTTTTTAAAAGTTCATACTACCTTATTTGGCAAGATCTTTGTTCCCATAGGAGATTTTATTTATAGAGATTTTATTCAGCCTAAAAACATTTATTTATTAATTGAAGTAAATTTATATGGCTTCTCATCACACCCTCATGATTCTGAGCAGTATACAGCAAAATCAATTAAAAACAAATGTAAATAACTATAAAAGAACAATTGGAAATAAAAACCAAGATTTCAGGAAAATTGGCAATATTCTAAAGATTACAACTATCTCACAGGCTGTCTTTTTGGGATCCCTAAGATAGCTCGAAAAACATTTTTAAAGTCTTTCCAGAGGTGGTTAGAGATGAGGCTTACGTCACTTCAAGGGAACTGATGCATATAAATATGTAAATGTTGTAATGTTCATTTTATTAAACATTTTTACATCTGAGCACTTACGATATTGTGTGAACATGTCTGCTGCCTAAAAAAGTAATAACTCCTGCTTTATAGATAATGCACATAGACGGATTTGATTTGCATCTTTTTTTTTGCTTGAATAAACAATGAATGCTGGTATATTTGATGGATTCTGGTTTCATTTAGAGAAGAAATTGAAAAAATGAAAGGTGTGATTGATAATGCCAAGAAATCTCGTATACCTGGAGTCAAACCACACATACAAGGCATAGAAGAGAACCTTCATCGTATGATCACTGACTTGGACAATGTGGTCAAAAAGGTAACTCATACAAAATTGGATTTTATAGATTTTCACTGATGTTAGGGATATTTCAGTGAACTTCAATACTGAAAATCAATTAATATTTTAATATCTTAGAAATGTTAATATATTTTCCCATAATAAACCATAGTACATTTAATAAATAAATATTTTGCTGAGAAGAACATGAAATAGAAACTTATTTCAGTTTTCTTTTTTGAAATATTTTCTTTCAGTTTTATGAATTATTGGATAATTACTGTTGCCTTTGCATTTTTCTATGCTATTAGTATCTCATCTCTATTTTGTATATTTCTAACTAAGGGGTTTTAACATTATCCTTTTAAAATAGTCAGAGGTTAGAGAGTGAGAACCTAGGACAAGAGATGGGAACATGTGAAAGTTTGCTGTTTCTTCAAAAGTAAAAAAGTTGAATTCCTTAACTAGAACTGGTGCTATTTGAATGATTGCCTGTGTAGGTACATAGTAGTTTCTATGCACACACAACTCCTCAGAAGTTCACATAACTACAGAAAATAGATGTTAAAGTCTTCCCTGGGGAGGATTGAATCTTTCATATTTGTTCTATGGAACTTCCATTCAATACCATCAATTGGAAGCTAAGATATATCAGCAGTGGGGGGAAAAGCATTCATTACCCTTCTGAGAACCATAGATACAAATAGTCAGTCTGCCTTTTTTCTTCATATTCTCGGTAGTCCTGGAATGGACAACTAGATTACCATGCCTTGGGTAGGCGCAGAGATCCTATTCAGACAATAGGAATATGAGAAATCATTTGAGAATGAACCATTTTCATTATTCTCAATGAATCCTGTAGCTCACCTTCAGAAATGGACAATTTGCCCATATGTCGTTTTTCTGAAAATTGGCTGTTATATGTGAGATGAGAAAATCAAAGTGATGAAGAGGCTTGATTTTGACCGCTGTAGTTGGTAGCAGTGGTGAGTTGCTTCTGGTTGGCACCGGTTCACAAGAACCGGTACTAAAAATTTGCAGTAGTTCGGAGAACCAGTAATAACATTGGCTGGCCACACCCTCGAACCGGTCCCCGGCTGGTCGCTTACCCCATCCACCTCATCAAAGGCTTTTTTTTTAACTTTTAAAAGCATTTTTTCTACAACCTCTTTGGCCAAAAAAATGCTTTTAAAAGTTAAAAAAAAGAAAGCCTCTGATGATTGTGCGGCTCAACTGGGATCATCAGAGGCTTCTGAAAGCCTTTTTTCTGCAACCTCTTCAGCCGAAGAGATTGTAGAAAAAAAAAATGCCTTTAAAAGCCTCTGGCGATCCCAGCTGAGTTGCCTGATCGTCAGATACTCCTAGAAGCATTTTTTTCTGCAACCTCTTAAGATTGTAGAAAAGATGCTTTTAAATTTTTTTTTTAAAAAAAGTTGGCCACGCCCACCATCACATTACATCCCCCCACCAAGCCATGCCCACAAAATAAGCCATGCCCACAGAACGGTAGTAAAAAAATTTAGAACCCATCCCTGGTTTGTAGAACCTGTAATAGTATGGTAGGGACCAGACAAGGTCTGAGAAGTTGAGGTCAGTGGTAACACAGCTGGTATCCATCTATCCGTCTGTCCATTTGTCCGTCCATCCATCCATCCATCCATCCATTTATTCTATCTCCATCTAGCAATCTACCTACTTAATCTATCTTCCCTCTCTCCCTCCCTCTCTAAATTTCTGGGTTTTGTAATTAAATTTTTACTATCACCTTAGATGCTTATATACCTGATAGAGTGCTTTTTTTTAAAAGGAATGAGTATTTTCTGTCCAAATACAGGTTTTGTGTTACAATTATTATTATTATTATTATTATTATTATTATTATTATTATTATTATTTTATTTCTATACTGCCCTTCTCCTGCGGGACTCAGGGTGGTGTACAGCCAAGATAAAACATTGCATATAAAATTTAAAAACAATTTAAAAAACAATTAAATAATTTCGGCCCAAAATATTAAAAACAACCCAATTAAAACCAAATTCAATTAAAACTGAGAGGATGGGATCAAGCCAGCCCAGCTAGATGGAATAGGTGTGTTTTCAGGGCCCGACGAAAAGTCCGGAGGTCTGATATCGTGCGTATCTCAGGGGGTAGGTCATTCCAGAGGGCGGGTGCTGCCACAGAGAAGGCTCTCCCCTGGGGGTCGCCAGCCGACACTGTCTGGCCGACGGCACCCTGAGGAGGCCCTCTCTGTGCGAGCGAACCGGTCGGTGGGAGGCTATTGGCGGCAGAAGGCGGTCTTGCAGATAACCCGGTCCTAAGCCATGGAGCGCTTTAAAGGTGGTCACCAACACCTTGAAGCGCACCCGGAAGACCACAGGAAGCCAGTGCAGCTCGCACAGGAGAGGTGTCATATGTGAGCGCCCCGTCGCTCCCATAATCCCCCGCGCGGCCGCATTCTGGACTAACTGTAGCCTCCGGGTGCACCCCAAGGGGAGCCCCATGTAGCCCCCAATATGACTCTTCTGCTTTTATTTCATTTTAGTATTTCATCATCTGCTTCCTCTAATAGTAATACTGCTGTCTTGCTGTCTTGTTCATGTCAGACAATACTAAGTGTTCTATTTCTGTTTTGAAATGAATATATTCAAATAAATTCATGTTATTAATCTCATAAATCATAAAAACAAGTTCAAGGTGTTTTGCAGAATAATTTCCCTGCCTTTATGTTTATTGATATGCTTTCAAGAGGCATATTTTTTTATGATTCAACCTCAACTTTAATATTCAGCTGGACTAATAATGCAGAAAAAAGTCTGAATATAATCACAAAGGGTTGAAGTAATGGCTAAATATTGCCCATTGAATAATTGCTTAACTGTTTTGTTACTGATATTTCTATTCCTGTCTGTTTCTACTCTAGGCATTGTTTATAAAATTACTGACCGAACACCTACTTGAGATTTTAAGCCTTTTTCTTTTTATTCTGTAGGTACAAGCAGCACAGTCAGAGGCTAAAATAGTAACACAGTACCATGATCTTGTAACCAAAGCAAGAGAAGAATTTCAGAGAGAGCTGGATAGTGTTACTCCTGACATTCAGACTGGTTGGAAGGGACTAAGTAAGTAAGATCATAAAATATATAAATAGCTGACGTCATGACCAACATCTCCATTTGAATGCTTGATTTTTGGGACTGATTTAGCTTTATTAACACTTTCCCCTTGTTAACATCTTAAATTGAGGCCTACTTAATTTTGTGGACTCTTAAATCATGGATACTTTATTTTGGGCTTGATATGGGTATATTTTCCTTTCCATCAGCAATAAAATAGTCTGCCATAGCTAAATACAATGTACCTTAAATTTGAGGTGTACATTTGCTCTTAATAAACAAACAAACAAACTCATACTTGTCCAAAATTTATTTGGAGAACTAAAATATAGAACCACACAATGTGCAAGCTCCTCAATTAAATTGAAACTACCTGCTTGCACATGGTTTTTTTAAGAATGATATTTATACAAAGTTAGACCTTCATCTATGCTAGACAGCAGTTCTAAAGTTAAACATAGATAATCCCACTTACTACCTAATATCTTTTAAAGCTAGGAATGTCAGGGATTGAACCTGACACCATCTATAATAGGAGTGTCAAATTCACATCGTCACAGCGGCGTCACATGACGTATCGTGACTTTTCCCTCCTTTGCTAAACCGGGTGTGGCCAGTGCTTGACACATCTGACCTGTGGGGATGGGAGTTTGACACCTCTGATCTATATTGTATTTTCTACTATTCTGCTGTTTAACTCTTCTGTCTTTTAAATCAGCCATTGGCAGGCCTATTTTAAGCAATAAAAATTCCTAATAACAAGATATTGTTGAAGATATTATTCACCATATATTAAATTACATTTTTAAAAGAAGATATGATGCTCAAATATTAGCAGTAAAGTAAATAGTTCAGCCATAAGTAAATTAAAGTTCAAATCAATAAAGATATACTTGTTGCTGTTCCCTTTGGATGACGAAGTATATAAATTAAATAAATAATACAAAGTAGTTCACTAAAACAGCAATTAGCTGTAAGTTTCCCAGTACCAAATCCTCCAGTACCAAATGGCTGATGTACAGTACATCCATGCATATCTATAACATTGTCTTTTAGGTAAACGTTATGCAAACCCAGAGAAAGCAGTAAGTAAAAATAATGAAAGATCAGAGATAAAAGAAAAGGAAATACAAGAACATCTAGTTTACACAAATATATTCTTCCATCATGTCCATATAATGATTAATGTAATACTTTTTATTCTTTAAATTTCTAGCCTCTCTTTTTTTAAAGATTTTGTTAACTCCTTGTTTGGTATCAGATTATCAGATATTTATCAGATTATATCGAGAATTTTACTCATCTTGTGCATAGTTTATTTTCTTCATATGCCATTATTATTGCATTTGGCAACCAGCCTTCAACTCCATATTCACACAAAATGTTCCATAATTCAACTTCACTTTATAGTATCCTTCTCTAAATCAAGAATTTCTCACAAATTTGCAAAAGAGCAAAAATCTTATCTGCACTTTCCCTGCCAGCATAAAGCCACACTGCAGTTCTCAAATCTTTTTCATTGTATTTCTCATACACTTTCAAGATTTCTGCCAGATACTTCCCTAGTCATATTTCACAGGTTTATCCACTTAAATGTTATTTTTCCTTTTGTATAAGAGAATTATATTCCAGCTATTAGCCACTGTCAGCATTTCAGCATAGACCAGAGCAGCAAAATTAGAACTATATACTTTATTGAGATAGGTCAGCATAACACAATTTTGCAATCTAACCCTGATTGGCCTTTACTTCCCCTTTCTCTTATACTCAGTAAATAATGGATGAGTGTGCCTGTGTCTCTTCTAAATAATATTTTGCTTCTCAGACTTAAGAAATTTTCTGTGTTCTGTGTCTAAGGTGGGATTAGGAATCGGGATCTCTTGGTTTCTAGCTTGATGACTTAACCACTACACCAAGCTAGCTCTCCTTTATCATTTACTCCCCTTATATTCCAAATTGCAAGTTTCCATAGACAAAATGCATCCCCAGAAGTGCCCATAATTTTTTTCATTGATTTTGTCCATTGAGATTTTCAATAAAACAGAGTAGAGTGCATTCAGTTACCAGCCTTGGTAATACCTATGAGATATGTAGCATTACCTGTTTACAATAAGCACATAACATTGGTGATTTTCAGCACATTTTAGCTTGTATGCTCAATCACAACTAAGACCAAGCAGCTACATACGAAATGAAAAACTGCCTTCTAAGTGATCTAACTGGGAAATACAGACAGATATTGAGAATACATAATCAAATAAGATTAGTTCTAACATCAGATTAATGTTCTAAGAAAGCAATTATAATAAATTCTCTACTCCAATGTGTACTGTTTTCCTCCATTCTTAAGTAAATGAATCAAGTAAAATATTAGACAAATAAACATAAATATATAGTCCATAGAAAGAAAAAGGCATGATTGAGCAATCAAAATGCCAAGGAGATTATGCATGCTTTCCCTTTATCATGCTGCAGTATCCAAAAATTAGAACTGAAGGGAGAAGCAGAAAGATTTTTAAAAGAAAGTGCAAAAGTTAATCTGAGTAGGAAGAATGAATTGATAAACAGTGATTGAATCTAGCATTCTGGTATGGCAGAGAATTCCTTCGTATATACACGTATTTGAGAGGGTGAAGCCCAGCTATAAATACATACTAGCATCAGCCTTGAATTTTTAACAATCTTCTTTTTTAATTTTCAAACCTTGCACTTGTATCTATATTCTTTGCTTCTGAATTCTTGTAACAACTCATTGATCTGTTACTGTGAATCTGGTTTAACTTCTTCATACCTTCATTTTCTCTTGCAGAAATAACTGATGTAGGTGAGTTCTTAACACAATTGTGCTTTGTATAAACTTCTCTTGTTTATTTTAACATGAGAATAAAATGGCATACATACATACATACATACATACATACATACATACACATTTGATTTACATTTAAAAATTTATCTTTCTTAAAACTTACATAATCATTTTTTTAAAAAATGTGCTAATGTTCAATATTACAAATCATAGTTGTGAGCATAAACCAAGTTACATGTATTTGTAAGAAAATGAATAGTCATTTTCTTGAGCTGCTTATAAATTATTATTTTATAAAGTTTAGGTGTGTATGTTTATGTACATATAAATAATTTGTATGGATTTGTAAGAAAGCAATCGTTTTGTTTTTGTTCCTGTTCATTTTTTTCTTTACGTTTAAATATTGTTTTGTACATTGTTTATGTTAAGAATGTTAAGAATATACATATACATTAAAACCAAATATTAAAGTCTAAAATGTAAAATGCATTTTTGAAAAACAAGTCATCAAATTATTTTTGACAATAACATTTAAAAACATAATTCTTGATAGTAAATTGCATTGAAATTTAAAAATAACAGATTCCTTTATTGAGCTGAACAGAGACACTGAATTGATCTAAAGATAGAATTCCACAAAATTTACTGAATATAGATAATTACTTTTAAAAACTCTATAAAGTTTTTTCTTGGTGGTTAATTAAATCAATAAACTTATTCAATGATATAATTAAGTATATTTTAAAATATTAATGTTTTTATTTTAGTGTGTTATTTTTTTAATAGTGCTGCATTTGTTAGGTTATCCCTACTGTAGAGATTTTGAGAATTTGAGTCTAGTGAGTGTGTTTTCTTTTATTTTGTGTATAATCTCTCAGGATTCTGAATGTTTAAGAAATGGCATAAATCAATTCTTTTTCCTACCTCTAACTGGGGCACTCAGATGAGAAAAGCTTTATTTAATGAATACTGTATTTACTGGTGCAAAATCACTGTACTTCTCTTGTTCTTTGTACCCAAAGTCTTTTTGAATGAATAGATTTCACTAATGCTTTTGTTTCCAGAATACATGAGAACATACAGCAATTATTTTGTTTTGTTCTGTATTTCTATACTGCTTCTTGCTACAAAAAAAATTCCAAAATTCCAAAATATTTGGTTTTGATAAATGAAAGAAATATAGAGGATTTTGAATCAGACTTTTCTTGATTCTTCCTAGTAATGTTGGATTTCAGGTCTCAGTTACATATTGGCCATGTTGGCTATAGAGGATTGGGAACTGAAGTTTAAATTATTTGGAGGCATTAGGTTGAGAAAAGTTGAAATAATCTCACTTTGTTTATGCAGTTAAGTAATATGTGAAGATTTAACAATTTTTATCTGTTTAAACATCTGTCTTCTCCAGCTGACCGGCTGACAACAGATGACTTGAATTCTCTTATTGCTCATGCTCACCGCCGTATAGACCAGCTGAATAAGGAACTGGTAGATATGAAAGTCCGAGAGCAACAACATATTAAGACAGCTCTGGAAAAACAAAAACTGGAAGAGAAAAAAGCTTTTGAGTCAGCAGTAGCAAAGGCATTGGAACGTCATAAGAGTGAAATCCAAATTGAACAGGAGAAGAAGGTAACTAATGAGTGTTTAATTTTCTAACATACCACACTTTTAAATTGTCCGTGCAGTATTGCCCAGCAATTGGCACAAGGATTCTTATTTAGTGCTTATTTGCTTATTAAGACTGCGTTAAAGTAGACTTCTAGACAATGGTGATTTGAGTATAATATGATAGATATGAGTTATGATAGATTTGAGTATAAATTTTCAAGTAGACTACAATGTTTGCATTATTTGGAATGTACTTTTACCACAAAGTCTAGCTTCTAGTATGTATTGCCAAATCAGTGCATTAGTGGAATTAACTGGAGTAATGTCTGACAGACCTGAGATAGAATAAGTACAGTGTTACAGATCATTCGGAAAAAAAAGTGCACCCCATTTCCATGAGGCAGTTTTTTGAAAGAAAAGAGTTGGATGATTTCTCAAGAATAAAAAAGTAAGTTTCACAATTTATCAAACACATTCAAAAGCAGGTGGACAGCAGCCATAGAAGTTTCCTTTGCATGATGTTTGGCCTTCTAGAATTGGGAGATCTTGTACGAATTAACCCCTAAAATAAAGACTGACAGAATCAGGATAGTTAATTTCCTCTTAAAAGCTTTTATGCTCTTAATACAGTGGCTTGTCCTCCTAAACATTTGTGAAGAGTTTGATTATATATCTCGTTAAAACCTTGCTTTATATTTCAAATAATCATTTTGTTTTCATAAACCTTAGCTTCTTACATAGATCATTTTTAAAATGATCTCACATTTTCATGGAGAGAATAATAAGAATGACAAAACTTTCCATCTATTAATTACAAAAGGCCACAGTGCTTGAATCTGCACATATAGCACATCAACACATTACGTCGTAGATTCTTGGGAAGAACTCATTGCATATGAAGCCAATATCAGCTAAAGAACTGGCAAATGAGTTTTCATATTTTTATGTATATAATATTACTAATGGGAGATGGTGGCAAGAAAATGATGGGCAGCAGAGAGAAAAAGCAGCTTAGCTTATTCTTTGCATCAGTCTTCATGGAAAAAGAAAAATTAGTCCAACCTACCAAAAACAGAACTGTAAAAGACAGACTAGGAATACAAATTAAAATAAACAACAACAAAAAAAAAAAAGGTAAGAGAACACCTGTTCACTCTAGATGAGTTCAGCTAACCAGGACTTGATGGTTTACATCCCAAAGTTCTGAAGGAGCTGGCAGACATGATCTTGGAACCATTGAAAACATAAAGTATCTTTCAAAGATCCTGGAGCAATGGGGGAACTAGTAGTATACTGGAAAAGAGTTGATGTGGTTCCCATTTTCAAAAAAGGGGAGGGGAAAAAAACAGATCCAGGAAAATACAGACCAATCAGCCTGACATTTTCCAGATGTTGTTGATGATGATGATGATGAGATCTGCAAACACATAGAAGCAAGCAACGTTATAACCAGAAGCCAACATATCAAAATAGATCATGCCAAACAAATCTTATTTCATTCTTTGACAAAGTGACCAAATTAGTGGACCAACAAAATGCTGTGGACATATTATGCTTGGATTTCAGAAAGGCATTTGATAAAATAGACCACAACCTGCTTCTTAGTAAACTAGAAAAATGTGGGATAGACAGCATGACCACCAGATGGATTTGTAACTGGTTGACAAATCACACACAACATGTAGTCCTTAGTGCAGGGGTGTCAAACTGGATTTCTTCGAGGGTCGGATCAGTATTGTATTTCTCCACAGACCGGCCGGGAGGAGGAGACAGGACAGAAGGCCTCCTGCAGCAACCTGCTGGCCAAAATGGGGCGCATGGAGGCTGCACGTGGTTTCCTGCATCCCATTTTTGGCCTGGTTGACCTCCTGCAGCTCTCTGCTGGCCAAAACAGGGCGAAGGAACTGCACATGCCCATCTGTCCCCCATGCCCCATTTTGGCAGGCAGAGGCACCTCGGGCTGGTCCTTTGATATTTCCAGGCCAGCTCCGCGGGCTGGATTTAAGCATCCCACTGGCCTTGAGTTTGACACTCCTGCTTTATTGGAACTACATCTACATGGAGAGAAATAAGCAGTGGGATACCCCAAGATTCTGTTTTAGACCCAGTATTCTTCAATATCTTCATAAATAATCTAGATGAGAGAATAGAAGGGAACTCATCAAATTTGCATACAACACCAGCTACACCAACATCTTAAAGATAGGTATAGATTATGTGAAATTGGCTTAATAGCAGTAACTACAAGAGGGATCTTGGATTTCTAGTGAACAATCACTTAAATATGAGCCAGCAGTGTGCTGTGGCCACCAAAAATAAGATGGAAACTAATTATTTATTTATTTATTTATTTTATTTATTTGTTCCTATTTCTATACCCCCCTTCTCCAAATAGGACTCAGGGCGGTGAACAGCCAAAGTAAAAACAGAACATACAAAATTTAAAAACAGTTTAAAATAATTAAATATTTTGGCCGTAAATTAAAACAACCCAATTTAAAATCAATTTAAAATTTAACTCAAGCCAGCCCAGCTAGTTGAAATAAATGGGTTTTCAGGACCCGACGAAAAATCCGGAGGTCTGTTATTGTACGTATCTCTGGGGGGACGTTGTTCCAGGGGTGGGCGCCGCCACAGAGAAGGCTCTCCCCCTGGGAGTCGCCAGCCGACATTGTCTGGCGGACGGCACCCTGAGGAGGCCCACTCTGTGCGAGCGTACTGGCCGGTGGGAGGCTATTGGTGGCAGAAGGCGGTCTTGTAAGTACCCCGGCCCTAAGCCATGGAGCGCTTTAAAGGTGGTCACCAACACGATGGTATCAAAAGCCGCTGAGAGGTCTAACAGGACCAGGATAGAGGAGCAACCCCTATCCCGAACCCTCCAGAGATCATCCACCAACGCGACTAATGCCGTTTCCGTGCTGTGCCCAGGCCGGAAGCCGGACTGGAGCGGGTCCAGATAGACAGCTTCATCCAGGTACCAGGGAAGCTGTTGCGCTACCACACTCTCAACAACCTTCGCAACAAAGCGAAGGTTGGAGACTGGACGATAGTTAGCCAAAACAGCTGGATCCAGAGAGGGCTTCTTGAGGAGGGGCCTCACAACCGCTTCTTTCAAAGCGGCCGGCAGGACCCCCTCACTCAAAGAAGCGTTAACAATCTTCTGGAGCCAGCCTCGTGTCACCTCCCGGGAAGCCAGTACCAACCAGGAGGGGCACGGGTCCAATAAACATGTGGTCGCATTCAGCCGTCCCAGGACCCTGTCCATGTCCTCGGGAGCCACAGGATCAAACTCCCCCCAGATAACACTCTCAAGACCTGCCTCAGTCATCCCGTCCGGACATACCCAGTCAGAGGCCAGCCCTTCCTGAATCTGAGCGATTTTGTCATACAGATACTGCACAAAGTCCTCAGCTTGGCCCTGCAAGGGGTCATCCTGCACTTCCAGATGGAGGAGGGAGCGGGTCACCCTAAACAGGGCGGCCGGGCGATTATCTGATGACGCGATAAGAGCGGCAAAATAGCTAGATTTTGCCGCTTTTATCGCCACTAGGTAGGTCTTAATATGAGACCTCACCAGTGTTTGGTCGGATTCGGAGCGGCTGGTCCTCCAACTACTCTCCAGGCGTCTTTTCCGGCGCTTCATCTCCCTAAGCTCCTCGGAGAACCAAGGAGCTAGGTGAGTTCGGTGCCGGGTCAGAGGCCGCAAAGGCACGACACGGTCCAAGGCCCCGGCAGCCGCACTAAAGAGAGAAACAACCTAGAACTAAGGAGAAATTTCCTGACAGTGAGAACAATCAACTAGTGGAACAACTTGCCTTCAGAAGTTATGGGTGCTCCATCATTTGAGGCTTTTTAAGAAGAGACTGGACAGCCATTTGTCTGAAATGGTATTGGGTTTCCTGTTTGAGCAGGGGGTTGGACTAGAAGACCTCCAAGGTCCCTTCCAACTGATGTTCTATGTACTAGTTTGTTTAAAAAATAAACATGAGTCCAGAGTTACTCTGAAAAATACCTCCAAATAAGAAAGATAAGAACTATTTTTATACTTTGGCTTCATCCAAATAGAAAACTAATGTGTTTTCAGATGTGTGAATGGAAGTAGATTTGTCTCTCAATAGGTTTAACAATGACCATTTATAGTGTACCCCACTCTATTGTTCAATTTCTATTGTGGCACTTGCCTCAGTGAAAAATGTGTATGTTTGGACTATGTATTCCATTCTCAACACTGAGACTTAAGTTTTACATTATGATTTCAGACCTTGTGGCTGAAATACCATATCTAGTTTTTAAAGGGTTTTTGCTTGTTAGGTTCGGTGGTGTTATTTTTGTAAATTTTACTTGATGAATTCTGGAAAATAGAGAATTGTTTTGTGCCCTTTTGATTTATCTAATAAAAATATGATTAAACTAAAGATATAGTTTACAGATTCACAGATAATTTTTAAAGATGCAAATACCAGTGATTTCTCTAACAGGTTGAAGAAGCTCAAGCAGTTATGGAAAGTGAAATGCGAACTCAGTTACGCCGACAAGCTGCTGCACATGCTGATCACCTAAGAGATGTTATCAGAATTCAAGAACAAGAACTGCAGCAACAATTTGACCAGGTGGGAGTTTGGTTTATTATAATGAAAGGTCCTTTTAAGTGCAGTGCTTCTCTCATTCTCAGAAATTTTTCTTATTATGCAATAAGAAAATACTAGGGCTGCAGAAATCATTTGAAGGAGTACTTTGTAAGAAAGGATGGCTTCCTTAGTCTTTCTCTGCTTTGGTTTGGTAGGCAATTCAGGGAGAAATCCTATAATACCAGTTTGTAAGAACATCTTGAAAACCCCTGCTGAGTCTTTGAAAGATGCAGCTACATGTTTTCTCCCATATTTTTTTTCAGAAGAAAAATGTGAAAGCACTTTTTCCAGGATTCTCAGATACTTTCTAATCCATTGTAAAGTACCACTTCTTAATGCTTTGCATAATCCAAGTAAACATTAACAATCTCCTTTGAACTCACCTGTGTGCAAATATTCTTTAGAATTGAGGAATTGCAAAATGTTCTGTGCATTTTGTGCATAGCAAGTTGTGTGGAACAAGTTTTGAGTGGTGTGTATCCATAATGAAAGAAACTTGCTTTGCCTTGTCATGGACAAGAAGCATGCTTGGTCTGGGCATTGATCTTAAGTACCTACATCTGGGTAGAGGTGTTTTGAGGGCTGAAGAAAGACACAATAGCAGCAGAAAAATGAGCACAAGGGAAAGGAGGAGGCTAGGAAGACTATTAGAAAACTTGTTCTAGTGGATTTGAATACTACAGTGGCAGTGTCTAAAAGGTGATAAGAAAAACAAGCTGCTGGGAAGAAGTGGAGAGAAACAGATAAGCTGGGCTCGCTGGGCTTGAATTCAAGCATAGCAGCTAAGAGGATACTAAAAGGAAAGGAAAGCATTGGGAAAATCAGTGGGTAGTATGGCCTACTGCCATGCAAAGGAAGTGGAGAGAGACATAAAAGGAAAAGGTTTCCCCTGCCACTCATGTACATTTGCTGATTCATGTATGCCTCTATTCAGATGTATATTCATCTGTGGATTTCTTGGAATTTCCTTTATCAAGTTCATGATGAAATTCTAAATATCCAGGGTTCCTGTATTTTCCTGGATGGTAAATGAGGAAAAAAAATGAAAGTGGCAGATAATCTATGGAGTAAACTTTTTAAAAATCTTTTGGTAGAATATGATATTTCATAATTGTTTTTAAACAGTCCCAGAAATATTTAATAATAAATTTAACATTTTTTCCTTTGGGGAATAGTTATTTGAGATGAATATTGCTATAAAATACTATTTACAATTAGGAATTTGGGGAAATCATCTCTGCAATCTTGGTGTAGTAACCTTGCTTTTGCAGCCTCAGAACTTTGAAATATTGGTCTAAGTGGACAACTTTCAAATGAAATTTTCAGTCTGTTATCTTAATTTGCTCTTCTACTCCACATGGCAAGTCCCTACTGGCTTGTATTTATAGAAATTTAAGTTGACTCTACATGCCATTAAGCTTCCTAGTGCTCTTGGATATATGGAGAATAGAAAATGTATCCTGCTGAATGTCAGAAGATTCTCCCTTAAGATTGTCTACTCAGTGCTTGAAGATTAAGGATACAAGGATGTTTTGCAAACGTGGACATAATACAATAAGAACATCAATAAAGGAAATGCTTGTAACTTATGAGGGGTCCTTGACAGGGCAAACCACTGGAATATAAAATGAGAGTAACTCTACTCCTTACTAGCATTGATGCTGTTACCAAGTTTGGGTAATGAAATGTCTGCTAGAAAATAACCAAGCTCAGAGACCACCAACTTCACCCTTCATAATGTGAACACATTTTCACATGTTTTTCTTTCAGAATTTATCTGAAAAACTCACTGAACAAGAACTTCAACATAAACGTCTTCATCAGGAACAGATTGACAACTTCACTCTGGATATCAATACAGCCTATGCAAGGCTGAGGGGGATCGAACAGGCAGTTGAAAGTGAGTGTGGCATGTAAAGTAGTAACAGAAATGTGCTATCTTTAGTAAAATCTGGGTGGCTTATTTATTTTTCTGCTTGTTTTGTAGATGGTAATTCCATTCTAGGAATCCAGTTCTGTATCAGAAAGTTTATCCTGAGTTAGAATAGGTAAAATAATCCAGTATTTATAAACAGGCTGGATTTCTGTATTGCTCTTTCATTTCTAATGGGAAACTTTCAGACTCTGGAGGAATTAAATTATATGCTAAATCAGTACAGGTAATCTGTGACGTTCAATTACAATTTGGTAATATCTGTTGCTAAGCGAGGTGGTCATTAAGTGAGTCACACCTGATTTTCCTTTTGCATTGACATTAAGTGAATCACATAGTTGTTAAACAAATACAGCTTCCCCTCTTAACTTTGCTTGTCAGAAGTTGGCTGAAAGTCATAAACGGCAATCACATGACTGCAGGAAACTCCTACCAATATACTTGTTGCTATCAGGCCAGATGTCACTTAACATCTCATCTAATGTTAATACATATGGTTATAAAGCAGAGCACTTGGAAGTTCTAGTCCCGCTTTAATCATGAAAGCCAAGTAGGTGATCTTCTACCAGTCACTCTCTCAGCCCAATTTCCTTCACAGGGCTGTTGTTGGGAAAATAGAAGGAAGCAATATTATGTTTGCCAACTTGAGTTGTTTATAAAAAAATGAACACAGAATATAAATAAAATAAAAATGAAACAAATAACATACCAATTGTCAAGCCACCCGGATTTTTATTTTAACTTTAAAAAACATTTTACAAGTTGATAAGGCCTACTGCTAAAGATGATTTTTTCTGTTTCTTAGCCTTAGGTTGCCTCTAGCAGCTGCATTTTCACCAAGTAAAAGAAACCACCTCCTTTCTCACTCCTATAACAACTCTCACTCCCACCACTTGCATTCCTGCTGCTCCTCCTTGCTGGACAGCTGGTCTGATTAGAGAGCGGTCTTAAAGGGGCAGAGTAGCATCAGCCCACTCGCTAGGCAATTTTCAGGTAGCCTGATCTCTCAAAAACACTATTTTACAATAGTGAAAGTAAATAAATTATTTGTCATTCTTCGTGTCAGTGGCTTAGCTTTATTGTAAGGTGCTATCAGCTGCATTATAAATTTGGTTGTATCTATTAATTTAGAATGTGTTCAAGCTATAAATGAACATGTTTATATATTCTAGATTTTCCTTCCATTAAATGTATGGCATTTTATATTACAGGCCAAGTAGTTGCTGCAGAAGAAGCCAGGAAAGCCCATCAGTTGTGGCTTTCAGTTGAAGCTTTAAAGCAAAGCATGGAAACTGCTGCTGGGGATAGTCCCACAGAACCCTTGGAGGATGCAGTACAGTCCATCCAACTCAGCTGTCCTGATGATGAATTCACCCAGGCCTTAACAGCTGCCCTTCCTCAAGAATCACTCAGTCGTGGGGTATATACGCAAGAGGCACTAAGGGCACGCTTTCACACAGTCCAGAAGCTGGCTAAAAGAGTGGCATTGATAGATGAAACAAGAAACAGCTTGTATCAATATTTTCTGTCTTATCTGCAGTCCCTTCTCTTGTTTTATCCTCAGCAGCTGAAGCCACCGACTGAGCTTGGCCCTGAAGACCTTGACACATATAAGTTGTTCTCTTATGCATCCTACTGCATTGAACACGGAGACTTAGAATTGGCAGCTAAATTCATCAATCAACTGAAAGGAGAACCCAGAAGGGTGGCACAGGACTGGCTGAATGAAGCTCGGATGACCTTGGAGACAAAACAAGTGGTGGATATCCTGACTACTTATGCTAGTGCTGTGGGCTTGGGAACAACTCAGGTGGACTAATATAAGCCAGCTACGCAGGACTTCTATATCTTTAACACTAGTCAACCAACATACAAGATTTGCAACAGTACTGGGAATTGGTGGGAGAAATTGAAATTGGTTCCAAACCATGTAAGCAACTCAAGTGTCATTAGGAAAAAAAAGTTCCATCTCCTAGTACTCTTATAAATCTTAGCACCTGTTGCATTTGCATTTTTTTTCCTTTATCATGTCTGGAATGTGTTTTTGTTTTTGTTTTAATCTGCATAACACAGTTTCCAGGTATTACTGATTGAGCTTGTGAACCCACCAAAATAATGTTTATAACCTTACTGATTTGCCATTTGGCTCAATTAAATAAATGATATTTAAACGATTTTTTTCACTGCTGCTTGGATAAAGTAGATTTTAAAAAAAACGACAAATTGTGTCAGGAGATGAAAAATGCATAAAATTATGTGGAAACAATCTGTCAAGTTTCCCTTTATCTGTTTCCAAAGTGGAAATATAAATATTTCCTATTTGGTATTGACAGATTTTCAATTTTCATAGTGTGTGCTTTTAGCAATGGTACATTTATCCCCTTTTCTTTATGGAAACTTTGATGCAAATTCTGCATAAGCCCTGAAAGCTACCTGTGCATTCAAGGCAACACCACTTTTTTTTTCCAGTATAAATTGATTAAGTTTTTCCATTTATTCCTATGTTGAAAAAAATATAATATCCTCCTATTGAGACCAAACACTGTCATCAGCTGAGTGAGTCTACTCTACAAGGTAGACTGCATTGTCTTGAAATAAGTTGAGACCACATCTATGAGAATCCCTTGGCTTTGAAGAAATGTTGCTATTTCTGTTTGCATGTGTGGTGTGGTGTGGCTTCCAATATCTGATAGTAAGAAAAAGGGCTGTGCATATTTCAAAATATGTAAGGAGATGTTTGAAAGAATAGGGTGTCTGATTTCTACTTTACACAGCCAGATCTTTTCCATCTATCTTTAGCTCCTGAAATATTTGCAAAGGGCAGAAAGTTCTTGCAGTGCCTCTATTTTTCAGTGTTCAGCCATACTTTCATCCGCACTTCTGGAAATTTTTGGACTAGTTGTGAAACACTTCAATTCTCCTCAGATTAACAATTTACATTAATATAACATCACCCAAGCCTTCTCAAAACCACCAGTATTTCTCTTGACTAAATTAGCGGTTAAGGCATCAGGCTAGAAACTGGGAGACCTGAGTTTTAGTGCTGCCTTAGGCACAAAGCCAGTCAGGTGACCTTGGGCCAATCATACACTCTTAGCCTTAGGAAGAAGGCAATGACCAAACCACTTTGGGGGGGAAAAACATGCCAAGAAAACTGCAGACATTTGTCCAGGCACTCACCAGAAGTGAAGATTCACTCAAAGGCACACACACAAAAAACAACGTATAAATCTACAATAGTAATACTGTCCAGTTGCACAAGGTTTATAATGCCACCTGACTACATGATAGAATATAGTACATAGAACATCAGAGTTGGAAGGGACCTTGGAGGTCTTCTAGTCCAACCCCCTGCTCAAAGCAGGAAACCCAATACCATTTCAGACAAATGGCTATCCAGTCTCTCCTTAAAAAGCCTCAAGTGATGGAGCACCCATAACTTCTGAAGGCAAGTTGTTCCACTAGTTGATTGTTCTCACTGTCAGGAAATTTCTCCTTAGTTCTAGGTTGCTTCTCTCTTTGATCTATTGCTTCTTGTCTTGCCTTATGGTGCTTTGAAAAATAAGTTGACTTTGTGGCATGAAATATTGGAACACAGATGGATGGCTTACAGCAATAAAAAATGCAAAATTATAAAGCAGAAAAGACAAAAATGTTGAAAAAAACCCAATTCAATTTTAGGACATGCTCAGCACCCTAATCAAGGCCTGGAAGAAGAGCCATTTTTAAAACATTTTTTAAATGACAGTAAACTAAGCCGTATGTGTCTCTGGAGAAATATTCCAGAGGGAAAGTGGGCTGACAGACATGGCCCCCTTCCTAGGTTTGATCACATGACAATGTTTGATCAATGGGATATGGGGTCAACTCTGGACAGGAAAATTATTGAAAATAAATGATCCCTCAAAGAGCCAGGCCTATGCCAGGAAAGGATTTATATGTGGTAACATTAGATGTTAATGTGGCATGCTATGGTATACCTATTAATGCTCATGTTGCTGTATACTGGACTAAAGCTTCTTAAAGTGTCTCAAAGGTGCTTTTTCTTCAAAAGGCAACTGGACTTTTTTTCCTTGAAGAAGAAAACATTTTGCTTCTTATCCAAGAAGCTTCATCGGTTCTGATGGCAGGTGTGTGTACGAAGAAGAGGCATTGACAGTTGAGACTGGATTGCGGGGGAATGAAAGGATGGGTTCTGATAGAATGTGGGGGGGAGGGGATAAAAAAAACACTTTTCAGACAACTACAGTATGACCTGGATGACTGAGAATCTCCACAGACAAACATCCAAGTGGTTTAAGGGCAGCTCCTGCAGAGCACATCGCAATAATCATGTCAGCCCTTCCAAGTAATCCAGGAATAAAAGCCATGTTTATCAATATTACCTTTGTTGTAACAATAGAATCTTCCCAATTTAAAAAGCATCTCTCTGCTCCCCAGCCTTTATTTAACTAGGGAGGATCCCTTCTGCTTCCTTCAACCCTATTCCTCATTTGGATTCAGATTTTGTTTATCAGACCATTATCTATGATGTGGCTGTCTTCCAAGATTATTCTCACAGCCCGTTACTAATCCTTACATTAGGTGGCCAGCATATATAGAGGGTCTCCTAGTCATAGTACCAGTTGTAACTTATACAGAACCTCTGCAAAGACCTTCCAAGCTATAGTTGCCACATGCTCTTCAACCAGAAGCTGTTAGTCAAGAAAATTCCATTTGTACATTTGTCCTAATGGAAAATGGTCCTTCCATGACTAATTATAGAAATTACCTAGGATTGGATAAAACCAAAATATCCACAGCAACTTGATCTTGGTAAAATTGAGCCTGAATCTTTTATTCCCTTTCCAACCCGCTCCAGCTCTATAGACACCGGGACAAAACATTGCACCACATCATAATGCTTTACAGGACTTTCTGAGCAGTTTATAAAAACATATTGCCCCCAACAGTCAAAGTCCTCATTTTACTAATCTCAGCAGGATGGAAACCTGAGTCAACCTTGAGCCTTGTCAGGATCAAACTCCAGGCTGTAGGCAGTTAGCCTGGAATACTGCATTCTAACCACTGCGCCACCAGGGCTCTGTCAGCCCCAGCCCTAGCCCTGCGACGGTACTTGGGGCTGTCATTTGTGTGGGGATCACCATTCCGCTGGTATACTTTCGCCAACAACCCTTCCTGTGCCTGCTCTCCTGGATTGTCAGCCCTGAGGCATGCCTCTCACTTCGACTTTCCAGCCGCATGCTAGATGACGTCAGGGTCATGCACTGAAGCAGTTTATCACCATCTATCACTTTAAGGAAAGACAGAGCAGCGAGGAACAACTGAAGCGACTTGTGATGGATTGGGGAGGGAGAGGAAGGATACGGGTTAATTGGATAATTGAGTGATTGCACTGGGGTGGAGCTGTATGCTGCTTTAAAGGTGATGGGGAGCACGGAGCATCAGCTCCAACAAAGATTCCTTTCTGTAACACTTTAAGGTGATCAGTTAGTACCGATATCAGGATAAACAAACTTGGTTACTGCTTTTGCATGCTGAGGTTTATTTTTCCAGTCTTCACGGAACCTGACAGGCTTCTTATCCTGGTGGTTCCCAACTTCCCTAAAAATGCCAGTTTTGGGGGAGAAGGAAATGAACTAAAAGGCAGGGTAGCTTAGAGCAGATGAACCACCAAGAAAACAGAATATTGGTTTCTTGAAAAGATGGAGTACTTTCTACTTATATTTTCATCCCATTTATTACCAATATAGCTTTATCAATTCCATAACTACAAAAATACATTAGATATCAAATGAGAGAGATCCAGTCCAGGTCTCTCGGAAGAATTCAAAATATTTAAAAAAACCAAGAGATTGAACAGTTAGGCATGTAAGCCAAACAAATGGGAACCTAAGTGATGTTATTTTCTGTGCTCTCAACAAAAGATAGGCACCCAATGAAGGAGTGCCCCACTCACTCACATTGATGATGTTACCTAGTTGGGCAATAAAACATTGGCAAACAAACAATCAAGCTCAGAGAGAACCAAGGACTGCATAATTACAATACCTGGCTGTCTTGCAATTATGTGACCTTAGTTAGAATGCCACTATTTTTTCATTTTTCTGTGAGTCCACAAAATATGTTTATCAGTCATCTTGCTCTTATGTTGTTGGTATAACAGCAGAGTTTTCTTCGTAAGAATCTTTTTTGTCTTGGGCATAAATATCTTCTTAGTTTGGTCTTGAAAAGGGGCTATGATTGGACAGATGACCCAATATTCTTAACAGGTAAGGTTTTACTCTTTGCACTATTCCAGACATGTTGGGAATCCCACAACTTCTGCGAAGTGTTTCTTTATAGTACAGTACACAAGTTGCCACTTGTGACATCTATGTGATCTGATTTGGTTTTGAATACATCTCCCTTCTTGGGAGGTGACCACTGCTTTCAGGAAAAAGGTATTTTTTTCTTTACCAAAAAAAGGCTATCATGATGAACATTTTCATAATTCTCCATATTGATCGTATTTTTGTACCAAAATTAACTTCTTGTTCTTCAGGAATTCAGAGTCACACCTGCTTTTATTCTGTCCAAAATCCAAGGGAGCATTTGTAAAGGAACACTATTAATTGGACAAGTGTAGAATGATCGAACCTACTTGGGATATGAGGAATTTCAAGTAAGAGATATTTTGTTATTACATTTTTAGCAAGCTATGTTGAGTCATAAGTCAGTAATGGCTATAAATTCCAGAAGAATCAAGATCACAGCTGGAATTCTACTGGGAGAAATGAAGACCGCTCTAGGATTCCTTGCTACAGGAAGAGTATTCACAAATCTTCTATTTTCAAAATCAAGCCTGTTTTTCAAAACAAGCCAAAATAAATATGTAAATCCACCACCAAATCAAATGTGTACTTAATTAAGGGGAAAAATACTTTCTTTTTTTTTTTGTAAATGAAATTTTATTGAATTAAGAATATATTACAATTCAAACTATACGGTTCGGCAACGTGTAGTCATATTGTATATTTACAAGTGCGGTGTCTAATTATACAGTTTATACAGAAATTCTTATATATGAAATTAATTACTGTTTAATTAAGATATAATAATATATAGGATTAACTAATAGTTGTGCATTGTTCCTCATGAGTATTAACTTTTGCATTTAATTTCCAACCACCTA